ATAATAATAATAATAATAGTGTGTTGGTCAATCAGTTTTCAACTCAGTGCAGCACAGGGAAGTCCAGCACAACTCAAAGTCAGTTCACAGGCTGCACGTAGTCAAGCTTTTCAGTTCTCATTTCAATGTAGTGCAACTAATTTAACCCAGCATTATTAGTAAGGTGGGGTCTCACAGACCCCGAAGATTTTAAATTTACTATAACTTTTTAAGAACGTGTGGCAGTGAGTCGTGCCTCAGTGTAGCTTCCCCTCCCATAACCCACTACTAGATGCCATATATGATAGGCTGTTGCATGAAAGCAAGTTTGGTGTGCAGACATGTAAAATGTGCTGGGGTCCAACAGACCTCACATTACCGAAAATGTGACTATATTCACTTCCAAAACTTAAGTTGTTTTGATGCATATTCTACTAAAATATTATCGATACTGCTGTGTCTTATATATTTTTACATATCAAATATAAGCAAATGTGTTTTTGTAAATATTTGGAGGGTATTTTGAGAATATCTCTTTTTTTTTTACAGATGAGTTATGAGCAGGAAGAACAGAGGTTACATCAACTTATAGATGGCACTTTGACAGAAGACGAGCCATTTAGCAGAGATAATGATATTGAAATTGATTTAAAATTACTCAGTAACCATGAGTCTAATACAGAACAAGACTGTGAGGAAGAATCCACAAAGGGAGCCTTTTACTCGGCGAAGGATAAGCAAACAAGATGGAGTAAAAACAAGTTAGGATCTCGAATAAGAACACGAGCACATAACATAGTTAGCCAAGCCCCCGGTGTTCTGGGCAACACAAAAAATGCAAAATCAGTTTTAGATTGCTGGGAGATATTTTTTCTTCATGACAAGATAGACCTAATTTTGAAGAATATGAATGATGAAATAGAAAGAAAGCAAGTAAATTACGCCAAAAATAACAGTTTTCAAAAGACTGATATGAGTGAAATAAAGGCTGTGTTTGGACTTTTATATTTAGCTGGTTTCTATAAGTCTAGTCACCAGGATCTTGAGGATCTATGGCCCACAGACAGTAGCAGTGTTGAATTACTTAGAAGCACAATGTCACTTGCTCGTCTCCATTTTCTTCTTAGATGTCTATGATTTGACAACCAAAGTACTAGAACTGAACAAAGATCTAATGACAAATTGGCTCCAATTAGAGACATTTTTTATAAGTTCAACCAAGTATGTGAGTCTGTATATTCTTTAGGAGAAAATGTAATGATTGATGAAAAGTTAGAAGCGCTTCATGGACGATGCAGTTTCCGAAGTACATTCCAAGCAAACTGGCACAGTATGGCTTAAAAGTATTTGCTTTGGTTGATGCCAAGTCCTTTTATACTTCTAAATTGGAAGTTTATGTTGGAGCACAATCTGAAGGCCCATACAAAGTTTCAAACACACCTTCTAAAGTTGTTACAAGGTTGATTGCACCTATATCTGGATCAGGGTGCAACGTGACTTTAGATGATTTGTTGACAAGTTACCCATTGGCTAAATCCTTGTTAGACGATCATAAGCTAACCATAGTGGGAACAATCAAGAAAAATAAAAGAGAACTGTCACCTGACTTCATCAATACCAAGCGAAGCAGCCCAATGACTACCATTTTTGGTTTTCAACCCAACATCACTATAGCTTCCTTTGTGCCAAAAAAATATCATGATTCGCACATTATAATATAATGATAATGCAGATGAGAGAACATCTAAGCCCAAAATCATTCTGTCTTACAACCAAACCAAAAGTGGGGTTGATGTAGTCGACAGAATGTCTGGAGTCTGTGGGACCCCATCGTACCACTTTTGTTACATTTTCCCACCTCACCAGCGCCTGGTTAAGCAAAGTGAGTGAGCGCAGTACAGTGCCCACTAGTGTTACTGTCAAGTAATGAGTGCACAAAGAATTAATTTCAAGAGCATAAGCAGTTACTGACATTAGGACAGTAACTGCTCTTCATAGTGATCCTCACCACAACTGGGGTCAGAACTGGAATCAAAGTTAGATCCAGCACTGAAAGCAACTTTGGAGCACTTAAATAAGTTGAGCACCAGCCAAGAAACGCCTCATTTGTAATGACTGGGAGTTTCATGTTAAGGTAAGAAAAGTTCACATTATGATAATATACATTTTACAAATTTGCCTTTAACCCCTTAATCTCCACTGTTACATCAAATTTCTATTATGTAAAATTACCTCTTCACTATGGCTCTGCAATTTTTTCTGTAAAACTTGCTAATGGATTATAATTTTGTGAAAGGAAACTATACACAACATGTTGTGAAGAGCAGAAATATCTGTCCCTTGTAGAACTTGAACTTGAAACTTATGTCATCTTTGTCCTTATAACAGGCTATCAAACAATCACATTCGATAAAATTAATACAAACTATATATAAATTTACCTGGATGCAAGAACAGTCATGGCCTTGTTCTCATTAATCTGGTGTATGAAATAGTAGCTGCTGAACAACCTCCTCATCATAATCAGGCACCCGAAACATACACCATCCCATATAAGACCACTATTTTCTTTTGGTACATTACACTGTGTCAAATCTGTAAGAAACAGTCAATTATTTTATTAACATGTAAGATTTGAGGCTTTCACGGTGGTAACTATGAAGAAAGCAGTCTTCTGGGATTTGGCACCGTGTATATGTGGTGTTAACCGACGTTTCGGAGGAACGTATCGCCTCCATTTTCAGGGTAGAAGGAAAAATATAAGAAATCCGTAAGTGAAGAGACCATGAGATCCGGTAAAAGCAGACTGGTGTTGGAAATATACACAGCTATGTGAGAGCAGTGAAGGAAGGGGGGAAGGGTAAGTATACAAGTGAAATCAGTAGTGTCNGGGATGGAGTTCAATCTCAATGGCTTCCCTAATGATGCGATCTATATAGCGGGTCTTGGTGGTGAGGATGGAGGTATTCTGAAGCTGAATACGGTGTCCCAGATCGATGCTGTGTTCAGCTACGGCCGACTTGCCCGGATGTTCGAGATGGATGTGCCGCTGATGCTCCTTCAACCTCATGTCCACGGAGTGGCCTGTCTGCCCAATATAGACCTTGCTGCACTCGCATGGCATACTGTATACACCCTGTGTCCTTAGGCCCAGGCTATCTTTAACCAGCTGGAGGAAATTGGATAATTTGTTTGGAGGCAGACCCACTGCTTTGATGTTGTCCCGGCAGATGCCAGATCCACAAGGCTACACAGGCCATGACTGACTAATATAACAACCCCCCCCCAGCTTAAGGATTAGTGCCCAGCCTTTAACCTTGCCTTTCTCTCCCCCAACACAAAACCCTGCTNCCCCCCCCTCCAACACTACTGATTTCACTTGTATACTTGCCCTTCCCCCTTTCCTTCACTGCTCTCACATAGCTGTGTATATTTCCAACACCAGACTGCTTTAACTGATTCTCACAGTCTCTTCGCTTGCAGATGTCTTATATTTTTCCTTCTACCCTGAAGATGGAGGTGATACATTCCTCTGAAACGTCGGTTAACACCACATATACACAGTGCCAAATCCCAGAAGACTGATTTCTTCATTTTATTAATAATCTACATCTGGGAAGTTGCAGAAGTCTGACGGAATATCAGAAAGGTACTTTGGTGGAGCAGGTAATAATAGAACAGCATAAGAACATCCATCACCTGGAGATTCAGGCACCTTTCCAACCGCCCCCCACATGGGAAAGCAGCTTCCACCACCATTTCACATAATGCAGGACAGTTCATAATTTCAGGGTCACAGATTAATATTTTGTCTTGAGGCACTTTAGAATCCTGAAATTATAAGCTAATATTCTGGGCCTTAGATTTCTGTGACTGAAGATTAATGTATGTATGACTCTGGCTTTTGGAAATAAACTGCATGGAATCTGGACAAACAGTAAGTAAACAGTACAACCATAAAGTCAACTCCAAATCAAAAGTTTATAACAATAAGCTTAATAGCTATTATTGTCATATCATTTCCAGATAAATATTAAATAATACTGCACTAATACCATGGGCCTCCAAACAGTTAACCAATCCATACATGTACAAGACAAGAATAATACCGCTACATGTCCACTGGAATATAACAATATGATTGCAACAAGAGACTTCATAATATGAAATATTACATGAACATAATATGCAATATTACATGAATAGTTTTTAACCATATTTTTAATTGTATAACTTTCATTTTCATAATAATTTTTAATTTTATTGTATTTATACCTTGTATTATTATAGTGTAACATATCTGTCAAGTATCCGGCACTACTGTACCATCATATTGAAATGTAGTTTGATAGTTTGTGAGTGTAATAATTATGTATTTGACTGATGATGGTTTCAAAAGCTGAAACATGTAGCTAAGGTAATACTGACCTCGACTGCCTCGTTATTGTGTTGTGACAGATTCTAATAAAGATTTTTGAGTTATACTCTATTTTCAAATTTTTTCTTTTAATTTTGATGCGTACTGTAAAAATGGTTTCCCACTTCTTCACAGAGTAGTTCTGCATTATAAAATCATTCCTGCTTGTAACACTTGACATATTTTAGCAGTTCCTGGTGTCATAAAACAGATGGAAGCAATAAAATCATTTGGTTCTCTGCTGGAAAATGTTACATCTTTGTTACAATCTTCAGATTTTTTAATACTATTTTGACTAAAGGACAGAAGAATGAAAGCATGGCTATTCAAGAAAAAGCTAGAGGGAACAATCTGATGGTCCCTTCTTAAGTGCTAAGACCTTCCACTGTAGCTGCAAGAGATTACTGCCCTTTCTATGGTCGTAAACAGACAGTTGCATTGTGGCTGAGATACAGAGTGCAATCTGTTTTCTCTGTGTTCATAGAGAAATCGAATGCTGTACTTTCATTTCATCATACAATGGCAAATAACGTTGTTTGGGAAATGACCTCCTACTTTTTCATCTGCAATATTTCACCCACAGGGGGCCAATCAACATCACTGGCCAACCCACTCAGAGAAGAGAATCAACTGTCACATTTGTTCTGCCCATGGGAAGAGGAGAAGAAACCACACAAAGTGCAAGAAATCTAACGTGGGCCTGTGCATTCTCAGGTGCTTCAAGGAGCACAACACAAAGGCAAGATTTAGTTAGATGATGCAGGGGGCAGAGCCTATATATACGTCAAGTAGATAACAAAAAAAGTATGCACATTGAATATTACTATATATTTTTAACACATTAACCTGCAGAATCTGCAATAAAAGTAGTGACTCATGGATGAGTTTTGGCATAACTCTTTTTTGTTGTTGTTCGCTTAGGTATAATTTTAATTCCTCTAGTAGGGTTTTACTCAAGTCAATCTGGTGGTTACTACATTTAAAAATAAATGTTTAGGATTGTGCCTTCTTGGTCTTGAAAGCAGGTACATTTAATGTGGGTTTATGCAGCAATGTAATACGTATTTCTTGTGTCTAAAAACATTAATAACCCCACGACTAACAAAGTAATTTCCAGGGTAGAGAGTTTTCTTGGGGACATGATAGTTATTCAACTAGTCAGTAATTACTGCCTTTGTGGATCACTGCTATGGTCACAAATTTTAAAAACTGGATTTAACAGAACATGATACAAGGTTTTTCAAGACAGTCATTCACATTAGGGGATAAGCTTTGTCAGTTTCTGCATATGGATCCCTGAATTCCAAACACTGTTCTTACTTACCACTAACTGTAAGTGATGATACACCTGAAGCAGGAAACTTCCTGATACATGTTATTCCAAATAACTGTGCGGCCCAGCAAGCATGACTCGTCACTTCCTGAAGGAATATGCAGCCAATGATCTGCAGTAAAGCTTTGATCATAATGATAGCCACATTGTAGCCCAACAGTGTGTTCCAACGCTTCAAGATGTAGGGCACAGGTCGCAGGTATATCTCCTCTCCTTGCCACAAAAACACAAAGGCACCCACAAGGTACCCCAGCGAAAATATATTCACTCGGTTTGTGCCAGCCAGGAAAACAATGGCCAGTGTTACCCAGAGAAAGGATGACAGAAAACAGCGCTTTGCAATATCCAGCCATGATCTGGAGAAGTAAATTTGGTTATTGAGGTTAATATGAAAGGTTTCAAAGTCATATTCCACCATCATATAAACAACTGGTAAAACTATTTTCACATATACATTACAGTAAAATCCCATCATCTGTTACTACCAGTTACATCAGCAAAAATTATGAATCTCTGAACACAATAGAAAAAGTACTATTCCATAGTAAGAACCAAAATTATTGCTTCTGTTGGTAGAAGCCTGAATTGAAGTTTTAAGATATAGTACTTACTGCTCTTTTCAGTAAAGCCTAGTTCTTACATCTCCATTAGACATAATTCTTGCCGCCTTTTGTCACTCACAAGAAATGTTCCATACTTATTACAGACATATATTAGGTATTCCTTATGAAGAAAATGAATACAATATATGTGGATCATGCCAGTCCATCTCTCACCTAGTATCAGAGCCTAACTGTTAAACAGATTTCCTTAAAATTCAACAGTGGAGACTTTCACTAAAAGTTGGGCATCCATTTGGATTTTCAGCCACATGGATTCACAGCAAAGCCTACTTTACGCAAGGTCATAAATTAACTTTTCGTGCTTATTTCATAAACAATATCAAAGTTTCGGTTAATTTTTTTTATATCAGAGATGTATACATAACACTGGTTGGACATTTTTATTGTTAGTTCCATTCACTGACTTCAAACGTCAGTGTAAGATTGTAATCAGATTCTCTCAAATACAGTCAACTCTCGATTATCCTGGATAATGGTGGGCATGGAAATCACGATTAATCGAAAACCTGGTTAAGACAAATGTTATTAAAAGTAGTACTGTAATACTGTACCTTCATAATGCTATAGGCCTGCCTGTATTTAAATTTACGCAACCTCATTTTTATGTCATCTCATGGCCTATTTAATACTTTTTTTTACATTATACTGAAGTGTGAATTAGTTATTTCAATCACAGTGTTCAACAACATCCAACACTTTTTATGAATATTCACACTTAACACTTAAAAGAAATTAATATTGTTGTTTGCTTTTTTGTGGCATTTTCCTTTTTACGGATATCTGTACGAAGCCTACGTAATATTAGCTTGTCGCTTAATAAACTGTTCTCTTCACTCTCAAGATAGTCTAGTAAGGATTCCAAATGATTAAGAGCAGCACCATGTGATATTTTCTTACTAGCAGCACTGTCCACCTCTTCCTCATTCTCACTTTCTTCCCGCTCTTCTGACTGCACCCCCACTTAACTTACAGTTTCGTCACTGCTTAACATTTCGAAGCCTGGCTCACACAAGTTTCTTTTGAATACTTAACACAACACGCTTCCTTTTACACCCTGACATTTTGCTAACGCACTTGAAGATCGATACAAAGAGACCAACTGGTGCGGTGTATCTGTCCTTGAAACTTTCCACAAATCCTTGCATTCTTTCACCCATACCCTAGAACATTGTGTTAGCATAACGGGACCAAAGAATGCAGAGCTCGGTTCACACTAGTGTGAAAATAGTGTTACAACTCACCATGTGAAACAAAATTGAAAGAATATTAAACAACATATAAGCCTCAAAAAAGCCTCAGTAGCACCGGTTAAGCTGCAAACCGGTTAGTCCGCCCCCGGATAATCGATAGTTGACTGTATATCATAAATGTTTACGAATTTTTGTCAAATTCAATATGAGACACCTTTGCATAATAAGAGTTGCTCATTTTGATTTCTAGTCACATACGAAAGGGTCAAATTTACAATGATTCTTTAAGAAATGGTCAACAATATTCCAACAATTCCTATAGGATAACTTCACATATACTGGCATCAGAATAAAAGGGGTAAAATATAATTAAGAATTGTGCAGTGTACTACAGTTGCATTAAATTAAGTATTGCTTTCAAAATTTGGATTTAAAAAAACTATCACTTCTTACCTGACATAAGATATGTGATCAGGCACAGGGTTAACAAAACCTGGCTGTTCTGTTTCCTTTAGGATACTCTTGTTACTTCCACCTGCATAGATTTGCCCAGCATAACGCCTCTCTATCCGGAATACAAGACTCTGTCGGCACACCAGCATCAGTAACACAAAGTCACCTGTTCAGCAAAACATGATCAAACAGAAATTTTTAGTCTCAAAATTATAAAAAAACCCTGCTGTACTTGGCTGCCTTATAACCACCTCAGACACTCTGCCCTAAATAGTCTGCAGTCACTGAAAACTGGTGTTCAGGAAATCTGCTGCAATAAACCTGAAAGCTGAGCACTGTCATTACAAAACTGCACCCAAGCCAGTTTCAGTCTATTTCAGAGCTCACAACCTACAAATATTACAGCAACATCTTCCTTTGAAGAACTAAATCAATATTTTCATGACTGGACCATAAGGAGTACTACTAAGAGAAGATCATCGTAATCTGAAATTCTTTTCATAAGGAAGACCGTTATACTCTTCTGTATGATAACAGAATTGAAGAAATAATGGCAAAATTTGTAATTTCAGAGTTCATACGACATTAGAGAAGACAGTGCAAGAGGTCACTGACAAACGACCATTGAAAAAACTCAAAAGATCCAAGAACAGAAGATACCAAGGAAGTCTTCAAAGAAGATACTGATAGATTCATTTTTAGGCATTCTTTACAAATTAAGAATAAAGCCTTATGTCAAGGTTATGTCCCTCTGTCCGTCAATGGCCCAGTATCAGTGCCTTGGTGCTAGGCAGATTTTCTTAAAATTTAAATATACACCATATTCACTCAACACTGTCCAGAAATTCAAAATTTCAGCTATATCTATCTACAATAACGCCTACTCACTGTACATAAGGCTACAAATGGACTTTGCATGCACCCCTTAAACCACTGCACAGATTTTGTTCAAATTTGTTATGGGAGACTTTTAAAAGGCTCTCTGGAAATTCAGACTTTCAGTAATACTGATCTGTAATAAGGCCTAGTTTGCAGATCATAAATGGAATATTTCCCCTATCCCCTGTAATCATAGTTCCCTTGCCAGAAAGTTTCTTAAATTTAAGTATGATGAGACAATCATGGAGACACGATCATACGCTTCACCTGAGGCTGGTATCCTCTCCATGGTGCTACCACTGTCATTAGCATCATCAATTTGCTTTAAATGTTATCTTCCGTCATGCTAGGGAGGTATTTTGGGGAAACAGTCTGTGACTTCATACTGAGCAAAACCTGGCTGGAGGGGACTCAACTTAATTACACTTGTCCTTTGAAACCTGAAAACGTTTAAGGTAAACATCTCCTTATCAAATCAAATGCAGGGCTCGTGCCTCGCATTATACCTTGGCCACATCTTTCCATTAATGGCCACTCTTGGGCTGTTACACAGAACTACCTGGATGTTATAAAAGAAGTCTCAGCTAGGGGGGGCCAGTTAGTTACAGCTGAAGTCTGATACAGTTAGGCCTAGTCAGATACAGAGGGATAGGTGAATACAGGGAACTACAGTTAGTTAGAGCTGAATACAAGTGATTACAGTTGGAGTCTTACATAGTGAGTAGTGGGCAGTCAGATTTCCAGTTCCTTAGTTGAAGAGTGATATAATTATGAGAGGTGCACTGTTGAACAGAGAATTAGAAAGTATGATAGTCAAGAGGATTACAAAGTGATGATCATGGTGTGGTGACAACTGACACAAAGGTCGGTAATACAGGGAGTTAAAGTGATAATTATGACAGGAGAGGCCCATGGGAAAGAGCTGAGAGGTTCATGAAGACCTTCAATTATGATGGAAGTGTAATCTGATAAAGTGCAAATCTCATGAAGGACTGGTGTAACTTTGCAGACATAAATATTGACATACTAAAACTGTACCACATTCGTTCCTTTCAAGTAGTGTAGTCATTCATCACTCCCAAAGTGTGAAACCCCATCCCAGTCACCAAAGCAACCTGTACCCTGAGGGAAAGATATCCTGACTCTACTGATCTGACGGGACAAACATATTGAAACGTGTTTCGTTACTGAAGAAGCCGTTTGGATTGTTAATTGGTTTATTCAACAACCTACAAGTAACGGCTACAATTACTTATCACACAGTTGCGGGGTTTCACGATTTATAACCCTATGCGCAAATCAGTTCACTCTGTCTTCAGTAGTCTACACATTTACAGCAGGGGAGCTATGTATCACTGTATCACACTCTTACTCGTAACTCACCGCTGGCTAGATTTGCTGCTGGGTAGGGAGGGGTTCTCCGTTGCGCAACATGTCACAATATTATCAACACTCCTGGCAGCTGTGCGAAGCCCAGAGGCTGGTATCTTCATGACAGCTGCCAAGAGTACGTAAACCCCTTATCACAGCCTTTGTTGAAACATGATATGAGAGACTTTCACTAACTACATTTCATTATTCCTATTTCTAAGTAGGCTTATCAGACTCTAAAGAATGCCACTGGTAATTTTGTGTACTATATAATGTAGTAGTTTTCTCAGTCCTGTTTAGTGTCTGAAACTGGACAACCAAGTATAACAGTGGGAAATGATAATAATGACATGAGACAACAATGATACTGACATTATGCAAAATAGCTTTCATTGTATGCTGCACTCAAATTCTCATTTTATTACCAACACACAGTATGTACTTCCATCTCAAGATATTTATGGATAAAACCTTCAGAAAAAGTTCATTATAGTCTTCTGGATATTTCAAAATGTTGAAATAATGAAATTACTGCCACTGCAAGAGAACACACTGCCAAGTGATAGAAATTATATTGAGAAGTTTAAACAGGAATACAGAAGACCTTTATGATTTTCGATGGGTCAGGAATAGCATCAACAGTCATGAACTGTGATTGGAGAGCATGATGTAAACATAACTGCAATACAGGATCTTATCAGTCATGTTTAAAAGACAGATCATAACTAAAGCCACTGCCATGCAGTGATCTCAGTAAGAGGCAGTAAGTTCCTCCAAAACATTGTTAAAATTTATGACTTTATATGGTATGACAACCAGAAGAGTCTGCAATGAGTATGGATTAACATGAAAACTTCAAGTCTTAAAAAAAGAAAGCCTACTTACAGACCAGTTTATATGCAGCAGGGGGATGTACTGGATCAGGCAAGAACATCCACTCCTGTAGATTCCTCAGGATCAGTGACTGGTTCCAAGGATATTCTAAAACATGGAAAATTTCACTGTTCTATTAATCAGACTGCAATATTCAAGTGTATGTCTGAGTATATTAAACCAGTCTGAAGATTTAATACGTTGAAAAAAAAAATGAAATTATATGGATCACTTGATCAACTAGTGTACACCACAGAACAGTGAGCTTCATGGTTCATTTAATGACACCATGTCAACTGCATATATTATACAGTGTCAAATGTTACAATTACTGACTTAACAACATAGCAGCTGCACGGGTTCAACAGTTTCAGATGTTAGGATCTCACTCTTTTGACAATTTCTGTTCATGTTTAATGCCATGATGGGTGAAACTGCTAACAGAACAAGAGCAAAGAAAAACCCAGACATCAAAACACTAATATTTGATGCTGTGTTTGTTTTTACAAAAATATGAATAGAAAACTGAAGAAAAACTGCATTAACAGAATACAGACTGAAAATGAGTATGGCCCAAAATATGCTATAAGGATTTCACAGAGCCTGAACGCATACCAGAATAGAAGGTATGGGCATAACAGATGAAAAGATGGAAGTATTTATTTATTTTGAAAGTTAAATAAATTCAGAAGACAAAATCGACAGAGAAACAATATATAAAAGGTAAAGCTATCCCTGTAACAGGCTGTGGAGGCCCACAAGGTTGTGAGATGTCGAGGCACCCACATTTTGTAGGCAGTTGGCTCATGGATGGTGGTGAGGACGTCAGCCTTACACACCAGCAGCACTCTACCCCCCGAAACATTCCTGATACAATGGTTTTGCCATAAAACGGATACAAAAAAAGGGCACTATAATTAAGATTTAATGAAAACAGACCTATAGAGCGATCCAGACAAGAAAATTTCAAGAAGAGAGGAAGGAACTTGTAAGAAACTGAAAAGGAAAAAAATTGTACTGAGACAGACACTTTCATCCATCCACCAGTACAAAAACAGGAGGAGGGGGAGGGGGGAGGAGGAAATATTGTTTCTGGGATGTGATGTCATGTACATTTTACTAATCATGAGGAGGAAGTGGAGAAGTTCTTTATATGCTGCACCAATATTTTTGAGGTAAATTTTTGTCAAAGAAGTATGGTTTACATACGTGCAAATATGGCTCATGGTATGTTACCTCACATTACTAGCTAATATTTCATAACACTTATAATAAAAATGCAACTGCCACTCTTCCTTAAAAAGTGGCATACAAACTTTAACAAAGAATAATGTCAGTTATATTCATTCATTCAATCATTCACTTCCTTTATTTTCCATATATCCATATAGGTAACAAACCTAGGATGTGAAAATAGATATATCAAGATACATATACAAAATTACACGAGTCACATAATTAAAATCACTTACATTAATCGATTAACATTAATAATAATATAAAGTAAAAATTTAATAAGATTTTAATTAATAAACATAATTTAAAAATAACTTACTATAAAACTTGAATTAATATAATTTTATTTAAATTACATATATTAACCGAATTAAGTACATTACAAATATACACACTTATGACAAATTATATTGATAATATTCATTCGTGGAATAAAAAGAATGATGATATAAAAACTTCTTCATGCAGATTTAAAACTTCTCACATCAGTAGCCAACATTTTTATTGTTTGAGGAAGATGGTTAAAAACTTTAATACCTGCTATGTACACGCCTTTATTGTATTTTGTTAGGTTAACTGCAGGTAAACATAAATTATTGAGGGCTATAGTTTTGTATTTGTGAATCTCATTGTTAAAATTAAATAAATGTTTATTATTAAATGTGTATAAAAGTAATGAACATATGTACTGACAGTAGAATGTCATTATTTCCAAATTCTTAAAAATGTCCCTACAAGATTCTCTGCGTCTAGAATTCGTTATAATTCTAATAACGTTCTTCTGCAATATAAAAACTTTGTTAACACAAGAAGAGCCACCCCAAAAATTATACCATAACTTATGATAGAATGTATATGAGCAAAAGAAATTAACTTTAATGTATGCTTGTTATATACCCTTTCAAGGTGACAATGGCATTCATTGCTTACCAATGCAAAGTGCAGGTGGCAAGCCCACTGCCATAGCATACTGAATGGGTATCAGCATTACAATGAACACCTGATAAATGCCCCAAATCTTAGCCAGTTTCTCTCTCTCCATGATGACAAAAACACAAAGCCACACTCCATAGAGGACAGCATACAGATCCATTCGAGTACCAATCAAAGCTACAGTTGCCATTAGACAAATCTGAAACAAAAGAAAGGTACAACAAGACATATATATTACAACAGATAGTGACTGTAAAATGCACTGTTAACATGTCAATTAATCATTGGCTTGCTATGTGATGACCACATTGATACTTCATGCAATAGTCACATTGGAATGGGCATTTCCTTCCAAACTACTAGTGGTCACAAAAACAGAAGATGGTTTTCATATACTTCAGGAATTTTCAATAAATGGTATAGAGTGATAACTCTTCACCATGCCTAACATTGCAGAATTTAGCAAAATGAATGTCTCTTATTGTATAAAACATCCTGAAATATAATGTACAGATGGTGGTTGAGTTGGTTACCACAATATTTTGTTAGTGGAATACCACTTTATTTTGAGCCAGCCTATAGCAGTAGTGAGACTAAAATTTTCCCCACTATTCTATAGAGACATCTGTTATACTTTCCTTCTGTGGGCTACTCATAAACGCCATTTCTTAGTTTCTAAGGATTCGGTTCCAGTCACTTAACGCCTGTGTGACTGTTCTATCAATATGACTCCCTCACTCATTCATGGCCATGTACTTCTCATACTGTAGCACCTTAATGAGTCAGAGTAAAAGAAAAAAGTAAAGGTATCCCTGTAACAGGCCGTGGAGGCCCATAGAGTTGTGAGATGTTGAGGTTCCCACATTTTCTATACAATCGGCTCATAGATGGTGTCACAAGGAAAATGAAAATAAATAAAAGCTGTCTTGCCTGTCTGTAGACAGCAGAATTGAGGGTGATGGTGGCGGGCTAAGTTACCACAGGAAGGTCAGAATAACAATGACCACCTAATATCAATAGCCTAGTGGATGATATATATACATATTATCAAGTGTAAGAGTTACTCTCACTGGAGTTTTGGATTGGACATTGGATTTATTGACCACTTACACACTCCCCACTAATGACTGCACTTTACAGATCACTGTCACACAGGCTAAGTCTTTTCTGGTCTGCAGTGTCTTCACTAGTAGTTGCATGGTAATGGTTTCTAACAATGACTATTCCTCTGCTTCCAGGCTCTAGTCCCCTCTGAATGGTGGCTCCCTTCCAACTGCCTAATTCCTGCTCCAGTTGGCCTACTTATAAGACCTTGGCATGGACCACTGTAGAAAACACCATTTTCAAGAGTACCTCCACTGTTGCATGCATACTGTTGCCACAAGAACCCATCTGTTTGCAATCATTGCCTAAAAACAAATTTGTTCCAGAGCTATTCACTAGCAATGGCTGTTTGTCTAACTCCACAGTTCTTGCTTGGAGTAAATATGCCACAATATCTTCAATACTAATCTCATCAACACTTCTAAAATCTAAGTTAAAGTTAGCTGCCATCCCATGCATATGACAGAGGATATATAGTAAAACTGCCAAATTTCAGATACAGCCTTGGGAATTGTAGCTGTACAAATGTGGCAATCAAAGGGCTAAGCGAAAGTCATTCTTCTGCTAAGCACTGTGCCATGAAGACATACAGGGGATGCAGACACTAAATAGCATTAAATCAATAAGCATGGTCAGCTTGATGATATGCTGTTAAACCATACATGAGAAAGAAAGAAAATTAATCAGAATAAGGATAATATACATACTAACAATATGGGAAAAAAACCGAATTCAACAGCAGTTGAACTGTGATGAGGAACCAGTGGTGTCTTAGTCAAGTGCTACCAACACTGAAGTAAATAAATTTGCCTGAGAGCTACCACTTTACCTACCTCAATACCAAACTTGTAGAAGCCATAATTGAGGAGATACTTAAAACAGCTTCGAAGATCACGATCTGCGTGGCAACGCTGTATGTTTTGGAACATTATATGAGGGCGGGAAATTAGTTCACCGCTTAGTTGGCGCTTGTAGAGTTGCCGAACCCTGACCACAGCCATTAATGTTGCCAAGAAAATCAAACCTGCAACATTAGAATATAACTTCAGAAGAACTGTCATCAATACATCTCACATGATGATCTGCAACACATGCAGTAGGAGGAGGGGTCAAATGCAAACCATACCTAACCCATCTCTTCCAGTGCACTTCATAAATTTTCATTTGGCTGAATGCTCCTGCAACATTTTACTGTTAAATTAGGTTAGTAAGATGACTGGAAATGGAATCACGCAAAGATTAGTTTAATGTTCCCATGGCTTACATCAAAAACAGCCAACTACTGGTTGTATATTTCAGCTGTGCAATGTCCCAGCAGATTTTGATGAAATTTGTTACTATAGGTTTATGCTAAAAGCTGTCACAAAAATTTCAATTTCACACATGCTGGTCCAATACAAAAATTACTTTGCAAGAAATTCAAATCAAACTTACAAATGTTCTCATGAAAAGTTCATCATAAGAAAAAACTGTACATAAAATAAAAAAAATCACATTCACAATCTACAGATTTTATTTGAAACATATCTTGAGTTGTTCTTTATTCAATGAAATACAGTACAAAGAAAAAAATACCTTTAAAACTGTTCCTGTCTCAACACAACTCACTCACACTTCACTGAGTAATAATGAGTTTATGGTCTTATGCTAGTACATCGCGCTCTATGTTTCGGCTCCTAAAGCCATCACAGGCCATACAATTCAACAAATATTTTTGAACTACTGAACTGTGCACTATATATGGTCTCATATAATTTAAGTTTAGGAAAAATTTTAAAGGTAATTTTATAGAATAACATAACAGAATGAACTCCTTGAAGACAAAGAAGAAAGTCTGCTTGATATAGTATCATGACTGTTGATTACTCTACAAAATATTTCAGTCTTCAACAAATGAACAGCAAGGTCAATTACATAAAATCATGAAGCATTTGACTGTGAGAGATAATATAACAAAAGGCGGAGTAAGTTCAGAACAACCAAAGAAGCACTGATCCAACTCCATTTCTTCAAAAACAGGCTATATCAGTCTAACCAAAAGTAATAGTAGTAGCTGTGGTGATGGTGGTGGTGCAAAGAATAGGAGGAAGAGGAGGAGGAGGAGGAGGAGGAGGACGACGACGACGAAGATAATACATCTGAAAACCTCTGTTCTCTATAGGCAACATATCTTTCAGTTATTTTATATACTCAAAAGCATCAACTCCATGACAGTGTGAACATTTGATTCTTGAAGCATCAAAGAAGCAGACAATGGTCTTCGTTATGTCAGGTTTCAAGAGAAGCTGACTGCTACGCACCTTCTATTAGATGAATACAGACACTGAAGTCTGCTAGTACAGTCCATTTCTGAGGTGAGGGCTTGTATGTGACAGATTCCACTTTCCTCGCTGACAATAACAACAACAAGACTAGGACAGGGGACTTACAGTCAAATGGATATTTTAAATCACAGTGGTGCCTTAGTAATCCTCCTAGTCACATTTTTACCTTTGCCAGAGATAAAGTAAGGAAAAGATATGACCAAACATCCACACTTTAAAATCGAGAAGTCTGGTACAGAAGTCTAGTGCTTCAACCATTACCGCCTACTAAATAATTTCATGGAGATGAGCCCTTTTTGAGAAACCACTAGTCAAGCAGCTTCTCATGAACATTTTACAGAACCCAAAGGTTCATTAACACGTTCACAAGAGCCCTACACTTGTCCTTATCCTAAACCAGATCGATCCAGTCCATACCATCCCATTCTATCTCTCCAAGATCCATTTTAATATTGTCCAACTGCCTACACCTTGGTCTTCCCAGTGGTCTCTTTCCTTATGGCTTTCCCACCAATATCCTATATGCATTCCTCTTCTCCCTCATTCCTGTCCAGCTCATCCTGCCTGACTTGATCATTCTAATTATACTTGGAGAAGAGTAGAAGTTATGAAGTTCCTTATTATGCAGTTTTCTCCAATCTCCTGTCACTTCATATCTCTTAGGCCTAAATATTCTCCTCAGCACCCTGTTCTCAAACACTCTCAGTCTATGTACCTCTTGTAATGTAAGAGACCAAGTTTCACACCCATACAGAACTACAGGTAAAATTATAGTTTTGGATATTCTAATTTTTATGTTTTTAGACAGCATACAATGCAAATGGTTCTGAACTGAATGTTAGCTAGAATTACCTGAATTCAATCTCCCCTTAATTTAATCCAGAATCAAGTTCTGATTTGTTACTGTTGCTCCCAAATATTTGAATTGTGCCACATTTTCAAAAATATCTGTTAGTTATCTTTATGTCACAATTTTGTCTTGCATATTGGTGATGAGACAGCAATATATACTGAGTTTTCTCTGTGTTTACCTCAAACTAACCTCCTTATTGTACCAGTTAAACTTTCTGTGTTTTTCTTTATGGTGTGTGCGTTTTATCACCCAGTAGATTCACATCATCAGCATAGACCAGCAGCTGATGTGTCCCCTTCAATTTCAGTCCCACCAGGTTTTCTTGAACCTTCCCAATGGCATATTCTAAAAAAAAGTTGAAAATCTGTGGCAACAGATCATCTCCTTCTTCTAGACCATTCAGAATAGGAAAATTATCAGACAAATTTTTACCTATATGGACTTCACTATACATTTCGTTTCAACACATTTTAATCAACCTAACTAGTTTCATGGGTACACCAAATTCTATGAGAATACTGTAGAGTGCATCCCTCCTAACTGAATCATAGGCTATATTTAAGTCTACACATATCTGACGTACTGTCTCATCTTACTCCCACTTTTTCTCCAGTATCTGACAAATGCAAAAGATCTGATCACTAGCTGATGTCTTATGCCAAAACCCACAATGACGATCCCCACCTTCATCTATATATGGACTTAACTTTGAGAGAAGAATATTGGTTAAAATTTTGTATGAAGATGACAGCAGTGATATCCCACAGTAATTATGACAGTCAGTTTCATTGCCCTTCTTGTGAACTGGTACAATAATATGCTTCTTCCACTGCTCAGGCAATTCTTCCTTATTCCAAATAGCATTAATGAGCTTATTCAGCCGAACTATTACCATCAGGTTGCAAAAATCTGGTAATGTAAGGAATAAAATTAAGTGGACACTCAATTACATAGCTCCTAGTATAAGGTACAGTTTTAGCCTATGTATTAAAGTTTGTCATGAGGAAGTCATTGATTAGAAGGAGGTATACTGAGTTTCAACTTGCAGAGCATCACGTGGAAACAGTATTCAGCAATGGGAAAGGAGGTGGTTGCACAGTGCCATTTTAATTTTACTTATTATAAAGTTCACAGAATATAAAGAAATAAAATGATAAAAATGTGCACTTAAGTAAGAACAGTAACACATAAACAGTTTAAAACTGACAAACCTAGCAGTTACACAATGGGTTGTCAATTAATTTGTACTTTAAATTATGTACTATTTATCACTAACCAATTAACTCCTTCAGTCACAGCACAAATCTCTGTGCCTGAGTATGGTGCATGCCTTTTGTCATGAGGATGATGGCTCTAAATTTGACTAAACAGTTTCCCTATCCCTTTCTATGGTACAAATCAAAGATATAATTCTGGAGTAGATTTGTAATGACTTACCTATATACCCTTTCAGTATTTCTGGCAGTGTATGATCTGAGTGGCTCTTGTATAGACCAAGCCAATCTGCGTCATTTCCTGTAGTATCATTTTCCTACAGAATAAAGAGAGTAATCACTGTCATTGCCCACAAATTTTAGAAAACACATTTAATCTAAAACTAAAATCTAGGACCCATTGCTTGGCTGGTATTACATAATTATATAATATATATAATTATAAAGTATTCACAGTATCTGCCACCTGAGATGCAGTAATGTTTCCAGTGGTATAATCATTTTAGTGATGATTTTATAGTCTGTAAAATATTTCAATTTTGCAGTGATATTTTGAAGAACAGTTCAGTTCATTCATCCATACCAGCCTTGAGCTTGCCCACATGGCAATAAGAAACTCTGTTTGTCAATGAGCGAACCCCAGTGTTGCAATAAGCCAAGCTGGGAGTGTGTGTTTTTGCAAGACAGATGTCAGCGAACTATGATTGTGTTTCATTTCTAAATACCACATGCCGGTCAAGACCATGTATACAGAATGTGAATGACTACGGCATACATATGAGATCACATAGTGTGAATGGAAATGAAAGTCAGTGGTGACAGTAGCAGATTTTTTGAGAACTGAGCCAAAGGACAGAATTTTATTGATAAATATATATAAACTTTAATGTAATGGCTATAGAAATGATAATGTAGGTATGTGAAGTCTGATAATTGGTCTTTCAAAGGCTTTTTGTTCTATAATTTTATAGTGACACATGATTGACATATTGCATTTTAAAATGGAACAAAAATTATAAAATTAAAGGCCGCAGTGACAAATTTAAATGTCCAGGGGAATTTAATGTGCCACTGTGAGAGACAGAAGAGTATGGACAGGAACAATTTGACTGGTTAATGCACTAGGTCACAGCAAAAATAAACATCATCTGCCATATAACACACTAAAACACAGAAGACAGAGGCCATTTAAATTTGCTGGTTTAGTAGGACTGGGATATGGTGAATAATAAATGGTATGCTAAGCAGTTAGAAGTCCTTCAAAACACTAGGTTTTACTGTGTTAGGGCATATAGATGGAATGATCAGAGTTTGATTCCCAGCAGCATCACATGCTTTTCTCTTTACCACCACAGCCATTCAAGCTCAGATGCCCAGTGACCCTTCTATGCACTGGGTATGACAAGTCATTTCCCAGGGAGTAACGACAAATACGTACTCATCTACATCTAATGGAGATATCAGGAAAGCACACAGCTTTAAATACATCCTTTATAAATCTTCATGGCATTAGTGGTTATGCATGGCACCACTTCAACTTTACCTTACATTTTACTCTGTTATTAGGTACATCAATGACTATTTGATTTTGCCATTTTCTACAGTGCCAGGTGCAGCAATGGGATGAAGATAGGACAAATCATGCCATAAATATGTCCATATTAGGGATGAGAAGGAAAATGCAAAATGAAGTGTGTGACACAGAAGAACAGAAAATGTTTATGGTGGAGTGTAATTTCAACTACCAATAGATGATTGATTTAGCCAGTATAAAAAATATTACCTGTGACTGAATGAAAAATTAACACCAAACTTCTTGAATGAAATGTGTTACGATTCATATTTCACTTGATCAATTGCGCCATCTTTCTATACATCAGATCCACTTGTTAAAATCATAGCATCAAATAACCCATTTCACTTGCTCTGACATTTGTAATTTTTGGTGGTAAGCTTTAATTTACTGTCATATTTTTTATGATTCTGTCAACACTCACTAAAGTTTCAATAACAATTATTAAAATATGATCTATATCATTTTAAAAACATTAACATAAATAAAGATATACGAGGGGGTACCCAAAAGAAACCAACTTATTTTTTTCGATCGAGATTGAACTGCATCCAGGAAATATGAACAGAGAGGGGGGGTTTTGTCTCAGCAAGTCTTGGAAACCTCTCATCTGTTCTCTTAAAAAACCCTCACCGGGATATGACGCCAGATCCAGAAGGCCACACAGGCCATGACCAACCAACATAACAACCACCCCCACCCCCCTCAGCTTACGGATTAGTGCCCAGCCTTTAACCTTGCCTTTCTCTCCCCTACACAAAAACCACGCTTGTCCCAGCTCCCTTTCCCCTACCCCTCCCACACTACTGCTTTCACTTGTATACTTGCCCTTCCCCCTTCACCCTCACTGCTCTCACATAGCTGTGTATATTCCCAAACTGTCTGCTTTTACCGGTTCTCANGTTGTCGCTTGCAGATTTACTTATACTTTTTCTTCAACCCTGAAGATGGGGGCGATACGTTCCTCCGAAACGTCGGTTAACACCACATATACACGGTGCCAAATCCCAGAAGACTGCTTTCTTCATAGTCACTGCCGTGAAAGCCTCAAATCTTACACAGAACGAGGTTTGTCATCAATTAACATTTCACCATTTTTGAAATGGGAAAACCACTCAAACACTTGAGTTTTCCCCATAGCATCGTCCTTGTACGCCGTTTTTAACATTTCAAGAGTTTCTGTTCCACTTTTCCCGAGCAAAAAGCAGAATTTCACCGCTGCACGCTGTTCACGAAAATCAGCCATTGCAAAAACGACGATCACACAAAACAGTTGTCACTATAAACTCTGCCGAAACTAGTCCTTACCTTCTGAAGCAACGGTAGTCGGCTTATCGACTCAGGAATGTTAGCTCTATGCGCTCATAGCGGCAAAACGCGGTACTACAAAAGCTCTGCCCACAAAAAAATTAGTTCGGTTTCTTTTGGGTACCCCATCGTACAGGGGTGGACAAAATAATGGAAATACTAAGAAATTAAGGAACATAATTTGTGTTGGCTACAATGAGAGGACTTCGGTTGGCAACACTGTATGTTTGTTTACACTCTGTAGCGCTTGTGTAAGTGCATTTGTGATTGTGTTGAGTGAAGCACCATGTGAGAGAATTGGAAAACGGGAGACTTGTCCAATTTTGAATGAGGACAGATCACTGGTGCACATTTAGCTGGAGTATCTACGAGAAAATTGCCACATTATTATATGTATCGAGAGTGACAGTTTCTAAGGTTATGTCAGCATACACGAATCATGAGAAGTCAATATTAAAGGGGAACAGCGGACGAAAATCAACATTAAGAGAAAGAGATCATTGTACATGACGATTGTTTTGAAAAATTGCAAACCTATTGCTGCATGGGTGACAGCAAAACTGAATATTCATCTTGAAGACCCTGATTCCATAAGAACTGTCCAATGTGAGCTTCACAAATTCAACATCTATGGTAGGGCTACAGCTGCTAAATCTCTAATTACTAACAGTAATGCTTAGATACATAAATGATGGTGTCACATCCATAAAGTTGGACATCAAACAACCGGAAATGCATGGGTGATCTGGTCAGATGAGTCGTCCTTCATGCTGTTCCCTACACCAGGAAGAGTATATGCTTGAGAATACCCAAGCCTACAATCTGAAATTCCTGTTTCCAACAATGAAGCAAGGGGATGTTATGTGATGGTTTGGGCAGCAATATTGTGGTACAGTGTTCTGTTGGTACCATTATTACCCTTCATGCCCGAATTACTGCAAGTAAGTACATGGACACGTTGGGTAATCAGGTGCATCCCATGATTCAGACATTTCTGAACAACAACACAGTTTTCCAAGATGACTATGCCCCCTTTCACACAGCTGGAACTGTGCAGTCACAGTTTGAAGAGCATGAACATGAACATCAGCATCTTCCCTGGCCAGCACAATCAACAGATTTGAACATCACTGAACCACTCTGGTCAGTTTTGGAGCCTACAGTGAGAAACAGAGTCCCACTTCCAACATCTCTAAGGCAATCTGAAGATCTTTTTCAAGAATAATGGTATAAAATTCCACTAGACTGTTCAAAACTTGTACAAGTCCATTCCGAGGTCTACGGCTGTACTGAAGGCAAAAGTTGGTCCAAGACCACATTAATCTTTAACCCTTCACCGCGGTCATTTTTCAGTGTGGTCATTTAAATTCCGCTGCCGTGTCTCTCCGGCGGTAATATTTTCAGCCCATTTAAATTTTGCTCGAGAATCTTTTATTCATCATTATTTCTTAAATTATATGAGATATAAACATGAAACTTTCACTAAAATGATCTTAAAAGATGGTTTTATAATCTTACCTTATAATATGAGCGCCCTGTATCTCAGCAATGGAAGCATGTGGTTTAGAATTTCAGTAGTGTATGATACACTTTGAAGCATTCTACATACAACGCTGCCTCACATTTACACCAATACTGAGTATCTTTCCTGTGGCCCTTTCTCGCGCACACCACACACCTTCTGTAAGGTCCTGACTTCTTCCCTGAGGGGGGAAGACGCTCCAGGAAATGTCTTCCCGTGAGTCGTTTAGGTGGTGGCTGAACTGACGGACGGCCGTGTACAGGACGATGAACCCCAGAACCGTGCTTTTGCATGAGGCCTCGCGCCAGCGAAAGTCTGAACTGTAGTGTCCATCTTTTTGTTTGGTTGGGACTAATAGATTACCATGCTGTTGTGGATCGCTACATTGAGTAACTGCTTGGAACAATTTCACGTACCACTTGGTACCCTTCTTTCGTTCAAGCAGGTACGGTTGAAGCATCTGGTCTTTCAGATCCACCCCTAGCATGTTCTTGTTGTAATCGCAAACAACCACAGGCTTTACTTCTGCCTTGTTTGCACAATTTACAACCTCTCGCATATCATCTTTATGGTGTGTGGATATCATGGTCGACCTCCGCCAGCGCACGACTTGTAGAAGGGCCAGCCATGGTAAGACAATGCTCAAATTTTCGAAGTCAGGCATCCTTGCAACCTCAGCTGCAGTAAATTTGAGCATTGTCTTACCATGGCTGGGGTCACTTCTATGCGTTTATTTTTCCATCCAAGGCTTCAGTAGATGTATATACATATACTGGAGACCAGCCAGAGCGATAATACAAGTAGGTATGAGTTATTTTCTTCTTTCCTCACTGGAGGGTGAACACAGTGCTCTGACGTTATTCTAAGAACTGGCTGCCTTGTATATTACGAATAATGTGTACTAGCAAGACAACATTTCTGGGCACCCTTTTATGAATGGCTTGGTCTGGTATTTCCTGCTGAAGGTAATATGACCTGCTGAATGGAATATGAACTTATTTTATCAGTAGATAAAGGCAAACATGGTCAGTCGACTGTTTATTTCTAAGAAGCATAACATACAGGCCAGAGTTTTGTGCTGAAACTTCTCAAAGCAGCACGCTATTTGCTGCAAGACATGCATATGTAACGATACACACTGTATTTCTGACAATAGGCCAGCGAAAAATTTCACAAAATACAGTAAACCCATCAATTTTTATGGGCATATCAAATTAGGCCTGCAGCTGGACAACGTAGCAGTCAAACCGCAGCCAACGATTTAAATGCCCAAGACGAAGAGAGACGTCAAACTGCACCTAAGGGTTAAACATCGAACTTTCGAAATGGTGGTAGTTTGAGCTGGCTGGAGTTTATTTAAATGCCCGCTGCTGGTGCCCGTTTAAATGCCCACTGTTGCTCTGCATTTAAATGCCTATTCCTGTTAGGGTGCTTGCACTGTATATGAAAATGCTGTATCTAACACAATTTTTATGATAAATGAATGGCATTAACTTTGTTCTTATCAGCAAAGAACAAAGTGTCATATTATACTGTAATATTTGAAATTATGTAGACAAAAAGTTATAAACTATTTTAAATTTTTTTTCCTTGTAATTTTGATGCATACCGTAAGAACAGTTTCTCACTTCTTCACATAGCAGTTCTGTATCATAAAAACATTCCGGCTCGTAGCACTTGAAATATTTTCTCATTCTCTGGTGCCATAAAACAGTTGGAAGCAATAAAGTCATTTGGTTCTCTGCTGGCAAGTTTCACATCTTTGTTACACTCTTCAGATTTTCCAGTCCTTTGACTAAAGGACAGAAAAGTGAAGACATGGCCTTTCAAGAAAGGCTAGAAGGAATATTCACTGTTCCCTACTTCAGTGCCAAGCACTGCCATTGCAGCTGCAGGAGAATATTGCCCTTTCTATGGTTGCAACCCAATGCTTGCATCACAGCTGAGATACAGGGTGCATTCAGTTTTCTATAAGTTCATAGTGAATTTGAATATTGTACTTTCATTTTATCATGCAATGGCAGTGAAACGTTGTTTGGAAGATGGTGAAATTGAAAGGCAGTTGAAATGCAAGATATGTGACGTGGGACTCTGCTTCCTTAGGTGCTTTGAGGAGTATTACACAAAGGCGAGATTCAGTTACATAACATGGGGGTTGAAACCTGTATATATGTCGAGCAGATAACAACAAAAAATGTATGTATACTGAATTTTACTATATTTAAAAATAAATATATAGGATCATGCATATGCTGTACTAGTGGCGTGTGTGTGAGCTTAAGCTAGCGGCATTTAACCCTTTAGTGCGGTTTGCCGTACACGGTACGCTGGTATTTAAATGGTCCTACCTGCGGTTTGCCGTATACGGTACGCCAAGCTGTAAGCTTAATTTCAAAGGCCCATAAATATGCAATGAACCATGCCAGCATGATGCAATTGCACTGGTCTGTTGTGAAAAGAATGCACTCTCTGTTCGTGTAAACATAACATTCAATTTCCTGCAGCTCTGACAGGCAGCCTAAAAATAAACGCATGATCTCACAGTGGTATCAAGGAGTGACTATGATATCAACATACCACAAAGATTATATGTGTGAATAAAGCAAACAAACAAGAAACAAAGCCCTTGGTTGTTTGTGATTACAACAGAAACATGCTAGGAGTGGATCTGAAGGATCAAATGCTACAGCCTTACTTGCTTGAATGAAAGAAGAGTACTACGAGTAAGTTGTATCAGAAGTTATTCAAGAGGCTACTCAATGTAGCAATACAGAATGCAATGGTCATATATCAGTGTCTCCCGAATAACAAAAACATGGACACACTAAAGTTTGGACTTTCAGTAGCACAAGGTCTCGTGGAAAAACATGGTTCTGGTGTTCTTCCTCCTGTATACGGCCGTCTGTCAGTTGAGCTGCTGCCTAAAAGACTCACAGAATGACATTTCCTGGAGCGTATTCCAGCCACAGGAAAAAAGGCAAAGCCTCAAAAAAGATGTGTGGTGTGTGCAAAACATGGTAAAAGGAAAGAATCTATTTATTGGTGTAGTGAATGTGAGGCAGGGTTATGTTTAGATGGACGTTTCAAGAAATACAATATGAAACTCAAATTCTAATCCACTTGCTTCCATTGCTCAGATACAGGGCGCTCATATTATAAGGTAAGAATATAAAACCATCTTTTAAGATGATTTCAGTGAAAAATTCATAATTATATCTCATATAGTTAAAAAGTTATGATACATAATATAATTTAGAGCAAAATTTAAATGGGCAATTAAAAAATACTACTGCAGGAGGCCCCACAACAGCAATATTTAAATTCCTGCGCTGAAGGGTTAAATGCCCAAATGCACAAATCAGGCTACTTTGACTTTTGACTATGACGACGACACTCATCAGTGTACTGATCAGTGCACTTTGGACATTAAAGGTTAATAAAGAAACATGTACAGTACCTCTAGTGTTTCCATTATATTCTTCACCCCTGTACACAGGCACAGTTTCTTTAAAATGTATTAAGTTATATTTCAGCAACCTTCATTAAGATTATCATAACAGTTAACTGAATTTTATACGAACCAATCTATCTACAACTGCCTGCTAGCCAACTATATATTGGCTAGCAAAGTATACACAATGCATCCACCCAGGCCACAAATCTGTGACCCATGGCCTAAAAGTCAGATCTCAAGACCAAACAGGTTCCAGACAGGGTACAGTTACATCCAATAAAAAATAAAATGTCAATATAATAAAATCACTGAAATTTTTACAAAATTTCCTGAAGTATTATTTATTCCATTAACTGTGCCAGAAAACTGAAACTTACCGTACAATTCACAGCATAATTTGAATGAACAAAGTAGTTGATCTGGTAGATCATCTTGACCAATAGGAGAACTGAGACCAGAACTGACACAACATGACACACAATTGTGTGGATTCTGCTACCGAATGACAGTGCCACCACAGCCAGGAGAAGGAAGATGAAATGCAATGCACATACCTGGAGGAAGTCATCAATACATGTACCAGGAAACTTGTTACAGAAAAAGTCTCAAAAGTTTACCAAAAATATATTTTTAGTGTAAAAACTTCTGATGGACTAATGATAACTGGAAGGACAAAGTATGAATTACAATGAGCAATACATTAATAATAATAATAATAATAATAATAATAATAATAATAATAAAAATACAAGTATATAATTTAAAAATATTCATATTCAAAATTAAAATAATGAACTCTCATCAAAATAGTCTTACAATATTAGGTAGGTGTCAAAAACTCTCTGAATCAGTAAATCACTTGGACTATGGTTAATATATGAACATGATCATATTGCCGACAGAAAACAGTACAAATTCCTGATAATATACAGTACCCTCATAAAATGTTAAAAAACTGAAGCTCAGTCTAAAAGCCTATTCATGTAATATCTGATTCAACATCTTCAGAAGGATGTGAAGAATGGGTTCTGACAGAAAACACAACATCCAACTGCAGAAATAAGCTATATAATTTGATTGAAGAAATTGTCTTAACAGTTTCCTTGTAGTGGATTTTAACAGTGGAGATTATTCAGCATCTGTGCTAAGTCTTCTTGTTACAGCTTCTTAACAATTCTCTCAGTGCTTCAACTGACTAACGCTTAGGCTGGCAGCCATTTCACACCGACCTCCTAGTCTTCTCTTCTCAACTTCATTTTCAACTAACTCTAACTAGGCTGTTGTCCTCATTATACAACCCCTTTGCATGGACTGAGCAGAAAATACCACTTCCAGCAGTTCCTCTACCAAATGACTGCCTAGACATGCATGACTCAGAACTACATGCGATTACAGTGTCACAACTAATCATCACAGCATCTGCTAAGTCTTCTCCAGTCTGCTGTGTCTTCACCAGCCATTCCCTTGTAATGACTTCTAAGAGTGGAGATTCTTCAGCTTCCACACTCAAGTCCTCTCTGAATGGCGGCTCCCTTCTACCTGTCCTTTTTTTTCACAGCCTCCCATACAGAATTGACTCCATTGCCACAGGGGTCTTCCTTATAACTCTTTGGTATGGGCCACTGCATAAAACCGTTTCCAACAGTACTGCTATTGTTGCAAGCATATCTATTGCCGAGGGAACATGTTTACTGAGTCGTTGCCTACAAACAGCTCAACATGTCACAATATCAAGGGAATGAATACCCAGAACAGATGTGAACCTTCACTGCAAAGTAGGAATAAATACTACAGTAAAGTAATTATTACTTTTACTACACATTTGAGTGCAAATCTTGGGATTCCCACATAACTGTCATTTTTATTTAAAATACCTACAATTGGACAAGAGTCAGCAAGTTTACTGCATATCTTAAGACCTTGCAAACTCCAGAGTTTATGACAAAGTCCAAATTAATTAATACTGTCATGTGTAGGAGTGACTATTAAACAGGGTTTGATTGGAAGTATGGATTTACTGCACTTAAACTCAACTTGTAATTACAAGCAATACGAGGCTGATGCTGCTCTACACTTCACAGTTCACCAGTGCACCCACACACTAGAGTTCTCAGTTTTCACTGGTAGCATCCTGGCAATGGATTTCAACGAAGTACTTACTCCAATTCTGTTGAGGTTTCCGAGGCTTGATTCCAGGTTTCAAGACATTTATGTTCTTTATGGTGAGAGGTCGTCAGCCTCTCGCCCAACCCCCAACCTGGTGGACCAGGACTATATATGGACTATGCGAAAAAGTGAACGGGTGTAAGGAACTGGAAGAGAGCAGAGCAGGGCAGAGAGGAATGGAGGGGTTTGATAAGGGAGGCCAAGGCCCATACCGGGATGTTGCACCATACAAGAAGAAGAAGAAGAAGAAGAAGAAGAAGAAGAAGAAGAAGAAGAAGAAGAAGAAGAAGAAGAAGAAGAAGAAGAAGAAGAAGAAGAAGAAGAAGAAGAATTTCTCCAATTATCACATATGAAGTCTTCTCTTCACAGGCTGACTTTCAAATCTCTGAACTCGTCATCTCTTCTCAACCATCTTTGACTACTATCCAAAGAAAGTCCCTCAACTATTGTTCAGCTGAGTCTGAGTCTCAATTTAACAACCGGCCGTCAGTCGGCCAGTCTGTCTTGGCATAAAGCACCCATCTGGGGCTTGCGACCTGATCTTTATTGCTGTTTGATAGTTATGGTCTTGTTTTTTGAGGGTGCCCTCTCTGACAAGAGCACAGGTCTGTCTTTTTTATATGCTTCTGGTCCTTCCCAGCGCAGTCCTTCTCGGGTCTGAGTCCCTTGGTACTCGAGACCATATATTACTGTCTCAAATTTGAGACTTCCCTCTTTGTCGCCTCCTACAACTCGCAGGGTCACGGTGGAGGTATTTGAACCCACCCCCACAGAGGCATATCATGGCCTGAGATCCTCATTATATACCCTCAGAGTGGATCCTACAGAAAACACCGTTTCCATCGTTACAGCTCAACAATACCTCAATTGTTGCTTGTTTATTCACTGCTGCAGGAACCTGTTTACCAAGTCGTTGCCTAGCAACGAAGTCTACTCTGGCTTCACCATTCCAGCTTTCAGGCATCACGTCATAACATAATTAATTACATTATTTTTGTTGAATTTCAGGTTCTGAGAGTGGTGACTATGAGAAGTACTGTCTTCTGGAATATAGTGAAGTGTAGATTGGTGTAACTCCACTAACATTTTGGAGGAATGTATGGTCTTTGTCTTAAGAACTGAAGAGGAAGCCAAGCAAAATACTAGAAAAAAAAGTAGATGGCCATCTGCTTCTTTCTGGTTTCCTGCTTGGCTTAGTCTTCAACCTCGAATGTGAAGGCAATATGTTCCTCCAACTTCTACAGTACTATACAGCATTACATTAGAGAAGACAGTGCTCTTCAATGTCACTTTTGAATTTTTGTTTACCTACAGAGCATGTTTAGGTGTTGTGTTTAATGACTATTTAACGATTTCTGAAGTAAAAAGAATTTTTCATTAGGTTTCTCCGGGCAAAGATCACTCTGAAATGATCCCATCTGACCTATGGCTGGGATGCCGCATCACTTACATCAAAGACACAGAGTAGCATGATGGACAGCAGCATTAATTTCAGCATGTGCAGCTCCAGGAACAGCCAAAGCAAGTCAATCACTTTCTGCACCTGAATCTTGAACTGGAGAGCCAGCTGCTGTAGCTCCTTGGTTGAAAGTTCTGGCAAAACCATAAAATTAACACTGTCAAAGCTGTCTTCATAATGAGAACAGCAGAATGAACTTTCTTTCAGTCTGAAAGACGCTATTACAACAACAAATATGTATAATTAATTATAAATGATAAAAACAATTCCATCCAGTGTGACTGTTGAAGCTTTTACTACTTCACTTCTTAGCACCCTAACATGTTTCAGTCCCTATAGACCATCATCAGAGGGAACATCAATACTTTTAGAAACTACTATTACATTGGGTGTTTTGATTTTTAACATACATAAATATACAATATTTGTAATATACACTTTATACAAAATCCAAATTTCTTACAACTACAGCAACTGTCTTTGATGCATTAAACTTTTTTTATAAAAACTTTTTGTTATTCAAGTTAAAATTCTTTAACTGAATAGGTTCTTGTCCCTTGTCCTTTGTTTTTCTTGACACGGCCAAACTTGTGCTGCCTGTCTTTCTTGGGAAGGTAGTTCTTGTTGTCGTCCTATGTTTGTTCGTAGCATGCTGTGTTGTTTTTACTTACATTTGTAATACTCTTAGTGTTACGGACCAGAATGAAACAAATAAAAAAAATATAATTAAGTTCATGACAAAATCAGGTGAAGCAAAAACTCATGAAAATTCAGTTAAAAAATCTGTCATTGTACGCTTTCCAGAACACTGAGATCAAAATACTTGTATACATGACAATAATTCTGCACTTTCATGTCTTTGGAAGACATTTATCTTACTGTGAGAGAAGGAAATATAAGTCTCTGAATACGACATACTCAAGAAAATATTTAGTCTCCACCAGGCTGAAGAAAATACAAAATGGAGGATATGACATAATAAGGAACTCCATGCCTTATACAGCTCACTTGCTGTCATTAGGTAGCCTAATCAAGGAGGTTTTGATGGAGAAAATATTGATGCTCAGATGGAGAAATTATCACACAATGTTGATGAGAAGAGCCTCTTGGGAGACCGGGGAGAAGAACAATATTAAGATGGATCCTAATAAAATAGGTTGTAAGGATGATTGATGTATGTAAATAGCTCATGATTATGTTCAATGGCAGGCTCTGGTAACAGCAGTGTTGAACATTTCAGTCCATCTATCCTAAAGTTAGTTAAGTGTTAACACATTTACATCCACACAGCTTGATGCCTGGACCAATCAGCCATTTTGTAACACTAACAACAAATTAATTTCCTTACTCTGTAACTAGATAAGTGCCAGACCACAGAGGAAGCCCCAGACTTAAAGGCTGAGGATATGATGTGATGTCTGGTCAGGACTATCATACACCTAACAACTGATGACACATAATTAGCAGGGGAAAACTGAACAAACTTGAGAGAAACCACCTTCAGTGCCACTTTGACTGCCTTGACTCTAACTCTGTGTTCCCATTCCTTGCCGTCTTTGTGCAACTTTGTCAATATATTAATGTTCACACGTTTTCATCTCTTTATTACATGTTTCAAGCATAACTAGCCATCATCAGGTGTACAAGATGTTCAGTTGAAAGAACCTGCTGCTCTGCCATTACTCTGTTCTGTTTCTCATTTTTTATGTAAATGCTTCAGAATATTCTAGGTTATACAGTAAAACCTGTCTTAAACGGAATCTCAAGGGACCAGAAAAAATTTCCACTGAAGACAGGTGTCCGTTTAATCAAGGTATACTACGTGGGGCAATCCAAAAGTTTCCGAAATTTGAATTTTGTGCACAAATGGTGATGAGTACATCGAAATATGGCTAGGTGTCTCCTCACACATCCTTCTTGAATCAGTGTGACAAGCGGCATCGAGTTGAATGACTGGGTTTATTGTTGGTGAACGTATTTCCATTGTTGTGTTTCCATGAGTTTGCGGTTTTGTGATGGCTGACCAGAGAGAGCAGCGTGTCTGTATAAAGTTTTGTTTCAAACTTGGGAAAACCACTGCAGAAATGCACCAAATGTTGAAGCAAGCTTTTGGTGAAAAAAGTTTAGGCCAGACACAAACTTACAACTGGTATAAGCATTTTAAAAATGGCCGAACATTGACTGATGATGACGATCGTTCGGGACGGCCGTCAACTGGCACCACACCAGAAAATGTCGCAAAAGTTAGGGATCTGATTCTGCAAGATCGTAGACTGACCATCGAAGACCTCTGTAACACCTTGGGACTAAGTTATGGTACATGTCAGTGAATTCTGTCAGAGGAACTGAACATGAGGAGGATTGCGGCGAAGTTTGCGCCACGACTGCTGCAAAATGAACAGGAGCAGCATTCCTTGGAAGTCTGCAGGGAACTTCCAACAACAGCTTGAAGAGGATCCAGACTTTTTATCCAGACAGGTAGTACAGTACCGTTAGAAGCTTATTTTAAAGAGTTAGGGAAAACAAAATTCTGTAGAATGTACAGGATGCCTAAAATTATTCTAAACGATGCATTCTGGAAGACTGCAAATTTTCCATATAAAGGCTTATTTTGATTTCCGTTGTCCGCGTTAGACAGTTTCCGTTTAATCCAGGTTATTTAACATCTTTTTCAGCCCCAAAGTCAAGGGACCTGAAAATATTTCCGTTTAAGACAGATTTCCGTTTAATAAAGGGTCCATTTAAGGCAGGTTTTACTGTAATAAGTTATCATGCTATTATTATGTATATGTCTGGTGTATATTTTTGTTGGTTTCTTGATTTATCCTTTTGTTCTGTGCATGCCACCAACAAAAACATACAAAAATATAAATCACTCCATCCAATGTGACCTGTAAGTATATTACTACATTAAAAACTTAACACCCTTACATGTTTCGGTCTCTGCGGACCATCTTCAGAGGGCAAACATCACTACAAATAGGAAACCACCTTCACATAAGTTGTTTAGACGTAAAGTACGTACACTTATATGTTACAATGCATAGTACACAAAATAGAACATTTCACAAACACAGCAGCTTCCTGGGAATGTAAAGTTTTTAAAAATTATTTAAAATTTCTTGATGCTAATTAAAAATTTTGCATTGTCAATAATTAAAATTCATAAACCATTCAGGCTCGTGTTCGTCCTCCCATCGTCCCTCTTGTATGGGGCAGATATTGTGCCACCTGTCTATCTTGATGTGGAGGTTCTGCAAATATATTATGGGTATTTTAATATTTCAATGTTTATATAATTTATATATTGTGACATGTTGACCCCTACCTCCCCAGCTGCACGTAGCGGTAACGTAGCGCTCACGTAATAGGCGAGTAATCACCCCGCATCCTGGTAGCTATGCAACGCGCAACACGTGGTGACGTCACGAGCGGAGCCGACGTTAGCCGAGTCCCCGCGACCTTGAAGCTATGCAAAGCGAATCAACAGCGGTGACGTCACCGAGGGATGTCGCGGTTGCTAGGCAGCAGTCAACAACTCCGAACAGCGTGGCTAGCAACACGGCACCAGACGACAATTGTCCGATCAAGGCTACATAAGAAGCAGCGAAGGCTATTCACAGTCAGTCAGTCAGTTAGTCCTGGAGCTACCNGTGAAGACAAGTGAAGATTGTGTTAAGAGATTTTGTTCTAGGGTTTGTAAAGTGTGGAAACCCGTAACACTGTTATCATTAATTGAGCCGTGATTTGTAGATTGTTAAATAAACCAATTAACCATCTCTACGGCGTCTTCAGTAACGAAACACGTTACAATATATATATATTTGTTTGAGGATATGTTACGTCCTACCTTTATATCTTCCAGGGTTTGCTCGTGGCTGCTGTGCTGTTTTCACTGTTCAGAAGTGTGTTGTGTCGCATGAATTTATGCTTGTTGTGTCTGTGACGTCAATGTGGGCGTGTTCTGATGATGTATTATGAGGTCGAACATACTACGTAGGCTATTACTTTCTCTCTTATACTTTTGTTCTTCTATCAATTTACTGAATTTATTAAATTGATATATGCAGAAGTCCTCTTTCATATTCATTATGCCTCCTTTTTTTTATGAATATAAAACTGCTGTGTTTGTGAAATGTTCTATTTTGTGTACTATGCATTGTAACATATAAGTGTACATACTCTACGTCTAAATAACTTATTGGAAGGTGGTTTCCTATTTGTAGTGATGTTTGTTTGCCCTCTGAAGATGGTCCGCAGAGACCGAAACATGTAAGGGTGTTAAGTTTTTCATGTAGTAATAAACTTACAGGTCACATTGGACAGAGTGATTTATATTTGTGATTGTTAGTGTGACGGTCTTACCGCCCCCCTCTGTGTAGCCTCTAGCCACACCGGTTGGTCGCTACTCTTTACCTTCCTTCCTCTCTCTTTTCGTTCTCGCCACTGCTGTCGTTGGTCGTGGAGCTTGCAGCTAGGTCTGTTTTACCTGGCTCCACCGCTTCTCCAACTCCATCACTTCTCTTCACTATGGAAAGGGGTATCAGGTCTGGGACTTGGCCTGGATGGTCTATGGGCGCCAGCAACTGTGGATACAGCCTTGAAGTGAAGGGAAAAGGTGGATGGGGTGGGAGCTGATGGTGATCGGGCTAGTAGTGGTTGGCGTGAGACTCTGGCTCAGGTCGTTTAGGGCCTTACTCCGACGAGGAGAAAAGAACACACGGGACACACAAACACTTGGCACCACTTAACTTTATTGATTTTTAATCTGAGCGCCACTGGGATACAACTCAGTGCGTTACTTTACTATGATCTCCCGTTGCTCGAACACTACTTTCCCTTAACAGACGATGGAGAGGGCTAGCTCCGCGTCCGGCGAGTTTAACTGTTCTTACGAGACTTTCTAAAAGAACTCTCTGCTTTTGCAGATTCAGAGATACTGCCAAAATTTGAGGAACGCCTCGTTGCCATACTCCAAAAATCTCCGGGTTGGCTGAATTTAGAAGGGGGGAGGGGTTCGATAGATTTCTCATTCTTCCACTGGTCAGCTGTTTCGCGGCGAAAGTTGGGGTTCACACGCTTTCACAGTCTTTCTGACCCGGGGTGGATTGAGAGGGTTCAACCTAACGGTCTCCTAAGGGTAGGTCCGTGACGAATCAGGTGTTGGAAATTGGCCCCTTTCCTCTACTAATGAAACAATTCGCCGCTCCTTTCTAAAAGCAGGTTTTAACATTTGGAGAGTTATGACCGGTTAGAGGGTCATCTCTCTACGTGACTAAAGTTCTTTCCAAAGTCTTTTGGACAGGTTTCTCTTATTAGTACATATGGCTCTTTCTAAAAGTAGGGAGAGTGTCGGGCTGGTTTGGGTTTAAGTCCGGGGATTGTGACCCGTCATAAACTTTACCATCTCGGAACTGCGAAAGGGTTCAGGTACCTCTGGTTGGAGTGGGGTGTGAGGTATTGCCTCTGCTTTGATGTAGTGACAAGTACCGACACACGTGAACAAAACATTGTAGTCCTTTGCATTGTATGGTTACAACGGACCAGAATGAAACAAATCAAATTTAACAAAAACATACACCAGACACATGCATAACAATGGCATGATAACCTAATATAATCTACTATATTCTGATGCATTTACATCAAAAATGAAAAGCAGAACAGCATAACAGGAGGGCAGCAGATTCCTTCACCCCAACATCTTATACACCTGACGATGGCCAGTTAGGCCCAAACATGTAGTGTTATGCAATAAAAAGATGAAGACGCATTAACATTAATAAAACATATAATATGAATAATATATAATATCTGATCAATGTGTTGCCAGACAAGAGCTCTATAAACATGATACAAGCACACAACAGAAGAGGAAGCTGTTTTTTCCGTGTGTCCGGTAGCTGCACAGTAAAGTGATTTTTCAATTAATTTCAGCAGCTTAAAGATGCTTTCTCTTTTCAAAATAATGTACTGTTTATTGACATCCGGAGCAATTTCTGACGCTATCATGGTTTTACAGCTACTTTACTGGTAGTCACACTTCAGATCATTCCATGGCATCACTGGGTGACCCTGTACTTCAGCATTAGCTGAGCAGTTTCCGGAATGTACCAGAGGGCATAAAGAGGGGTATCGATATTTAGATCAAAAGAGAGACATGTGCAGGCAAGCTGACGTGACCCCCTCATGCTCAGCTTCCATGACAAGAAATGTTTATAGAAACTACATAAAATGTTATGAAACAATTGACACTCACAGGAAAACCAAAAGATTCAATACCACTAGTTGGGAAGCCAGCCTTCAGACAAAATCCCAAGCCAGTTGTATCCATCCCCATCCATACAAAAAAAAAATAGCTTGTGAAACAGATGTCATAAGAAACACAAAAGATAAGGCAAATATGTGCATAAACACTAAGTGAAATAAAATAAAGAAAGCAGACTCAAAGGTATTGTAAAGTTTGAAGCATTCTTATCACTGACACTATGTGGAAGCAAGCAGTCAGCTTCACATTCTGGACACTCTGTTCATAGGAAAAGAGAACCTGGATAGTATTGGATTGGATACTGGGTGAGACCCAGATCTGGTCTGGATGTGGTTGATGAACAAATCCCCCCTCCCCAAATGCTTTACTGACTGCGCTGAACTATTCTGATTCTCACATGTGAACATCAAGTGGTATGTACACAGGCAAACATGTGTGCATGCATGAGCACACACACGCACATAGGTAAAATTCTGCAGAATATTGAAATAGCAGGCACATATAAAAAGGAGCACTTATAGAAAGACAAGAGAGGAGAAGGTTTTAACATTTAATGATCCATCCTGGTGGAAATATATATGAATGGTGATGGTCTGTGATTCAGACACCTGCTTTGCAGGTAGCAAGAGAACTGCTTCCTTACGTTTCAGTGTTCGCAGAGAAGGCATTGGAACACTCTCCTCTTTTTGCTGTTCATTTGTTCCTCCTTCTGGATCTTCTGACACATGGCCTTGACCTCCTGCTACTGAGCTGCCATACATACTGGACTCTCGCTTCAAAATCTCTGATCTACGGAGTCACAAAGTTAAGGTAAAGAAATTGCATTACTGAACACAGATAAATGTGTGAAGTATCTAGAGACAGTGAACAGGGTAAGGACAAGTTCTTGTTAGAAGTTTCCTAACAAATGACTGTCTTGCCATCTACATGTGTATATTTCTTCTTCAAATGGTGAAAATGTTACATTCCATGAAAAGGCTATGGCAATATGATACAGAGGACCAAAAATAACATACCAATATAATTTCAGAATACTGGAAAAATAAGTAGGTGGCATCCTGGCTCACTCTGTTCCACTCCAAGGATAGTGAATATCCACATCACAGATTTATAGCATTAGCTTGTTATATTCAGATGCTGGCAGTTTCCAAATTTCAGTTTTAGTCTTACAACAGAAATAAAGTAATTACTGACTCTATTCATTATGTAATTTATGTCGGCCTTTCTATGTTTTAAGTAAAATCAGGACAAACTGTAACCACAAAAGAAATAGTAAAAAAACACTGTATTGTGGCATTTCCGCTGAAAGCCAGAACTGTTATGCCAACAGAGACAGCTCTGCACACACGCCTGTTGCTAGGCAATGGCTCAGTACCTGACATACGATCCCTGCAACAAGCAGACACATGATAATGGAAGAGACATTTTTTGTATGCTCCATGCTGGGGCTATGACATCATCATCCTATCAGACAACCATCACCTCATCTAGCTAAACCACTAACTGCAACTTCAGTGCGCTTAGCACCCACAGTAATTGCACATGTATACAGCTTCAAAGACACCCTATGCCATGTCAACACATCATTCCATACCTTCAAACACATGCATTCTATTGTATCAGTAAGCAGGCACTTTTTACTCTTACCTTCAATATTAACCTATTTTAATAAACCCTAGAACTTAACAACCTTGTACATAATTTTCAGGTCAATCTCCAAGGACGCATATTACTGTACCATATGCCAACACAATGATCCTTGCATTAATACTTACATACTGTCCTGATTTAGTGACTAGACATGGGGAATGGAGTGTTAATTTAATTTATTGGACTCTTGTAACTACAAAGGATTAGAACACTTCCGCTGTTTTCCACACTTCAAAGGTCACTATAGCACAGGCTAAGTTTCAACCAGTTGCAGACTGGTAACGTATTCCAACAGTGCCCTCTGCTTCTGTGCAAACATCCTTTACCAGCTGGTGACTGTCTTGCACCTGTGACCCATAGCTTCAACTGTCAACTACTACTGACTGCAACTGGCCCACGACAGCAACTGTCAAAGTTGCAGCTCAAGTGCTCCCTACATAACTTCAGCATGGGCCATGCAAAAAACTCCATTTCCAATAATTCCTCCATTGTCACTTCACATGTTCATTGTCACAAAAACCTATTTATTGAGCAGTTGCCTAGCAACGGCCATCTCCTCTGGCTCCACTATTTTGGCATTCAGCCATTAGGTTACAATACTATACAACATTACTTAAGCACATTTCCATTCTTTACCCGCCACCCCCAAAATGAATCTAAGGGTAACGCTGGCTGAAATTTAATACCTGCTAATACTGCTGTGAACCTGAAGAATATATGTCCATATAGTTAGGTATGGACATGCCTGTGGCAGCTCAGGTTCGACCCCAGGTTAGGTCATGTGAGATTTCTGGAGGACAAAGTGGCATCAGGTTTTCTTCAAATACTTCAATTTTCCTTGCCAATTCTCATTCCACCAACTGCTTCACACTCATCATGATCTATCATGCAGAGCTACTATAGTAGGCCAAATAACGGCTGATGTACCAAGTAGATGCAGACTCCCCTCCCTCAGAAATATATATATATATACTACTGTGTCCAAAAAGTATCCGACCTTGGGCCAGGAAAACAAAGTTCTGTATCTGGGTGGTTACAATACCTAATCCCCTTCAAAGTAGGCCTATTGTGACTCCACACACTTAGCACAGTGGTCCTTCCATTGCTGGAAGCAATTCTGAAAGGCTTCTTTTGGAAAGGCGTGAAGCTGTGCCATTGCGTTCTGTATAATGTCCTTGTGGCTGCCAAAATGGGAGTCTTTTAGAGGTGCCTTCAATCTCGGGAACAGCCAGAAATCACAAGGAGCCATGTCAGCAGAGTAGGGAGCCTGGCGAACCTGTGGAATGCCGTGCTTGGCCGTGGAAACCCTGGATCAGGTGTGATGAATGAGCTGAGGCGTTGTCATCATGCAGCTGCCAGTTGCATGCATCCCACAGCTCCAGTCTCTTGCACTGAACTGCATCATAAAGATGGCGGAGGACTTCTTGGTAGTACTCCTCATGGACAAGTTGGCCTAGTTGTGCATACTCATGATGCACAACACCACGGTAATCGAAAAAAAACAGTCAGTATCACCTTCACGTTGCTCCAAACCTGTCGTGTTCTTATGGGCCTCGGAGAGGTTGGATGCTTCCATTTTGATGCCTAGACCTTGGTTTCCGGGTCATATCTGTACACCCACGACTCATCACCAGTTATTAGTCTTCAGGAACTCAGGATCCCTGTTGGCGCACTCCAGCATGTCCTGCGTGACCTCAAGACGGAGTTGTTGCTGCTCTGGCAAAAGCAGCTTGGGCACAAATTTTGCCGCCACTCTTCGCATGCCCAAATCCTCAGTTAAAATTGTGTTTGAGGAACCTCTGCTGATCCCAACATCATCAGCAACTTCCCAAATGGTCAAACGATGGTCTCCATGATCAGTGTCTGCACTTTTTCAATGACATCAGCACTTCGGTTCACTGAAGGTCTCTTGGAACACTGGTCACTGTCTGCTGACATATGACCATCTTTAAAGCGGTTGAACCACTCTTTAATATGAGTGACCCCATTGCATCATCACTGAAAGCCTGCTGAATTCTGTGGATTTTTTCCGCTTGCGTATTCCCAACTTTCTGACAAAACTTGATGCAGTATCGCTGCTCCAAGTGTTCTGTCATCTTGAGCGAAACGAGAATGTAACGAACACGGTGTTACAGCACTTTGCTATCTGGTAGCCACAGACACATCCAGCAGTGTTGCAAGTCAGCAAAAAGTCATGCATGTGCATGAAAGTCCCTTCTACCACTACGATCAGTTTCCCCACCCCTTTGGCCATTACTTACAGTGGCAAAAAATAAAGTTGGATATTTTTTGGACAGTGGTCTGTGTGTGTGTGTCTACATATATACAGGGGGGGGTCCAAAAAATCTACTCGCTCTTTGATAGTCAATATCTTTGGAACAAAATGACATGTAGTTACAATTCTTGCATGGTAGTGTAGTGTAATGTTTTCTAAACAGATGATGAAAGTCACACAAGTCACGTGAGTGTTGTGCTGCATGTGCGCTGTGAGCAGAAGACAGCAGCAACAATGGCTGAAAGGTTGTTCTTTGAGCAACGCAAGGCTGTATTGAAGTGGTACTGGAAGTACGAAAACATTAAAGAGGTACGACGATGGCAGAATGAGTTTGGAACTCAGCCACCAACACGTCAAACAACTGACCGTATTCGGGATAAATTTGAAGCCAACGGTACTACCAGGTGTTAATGTGTGGTGTGGTCTGTCATCGCGCGGTTTGATTGGTCCTTTCTTCTTTGAAGGTACCGTAACTGGTCAGGTGTATCTCAATACGCTGCTACAGACATCGATTTTCCCTGCCATTCGAGAGTTGATTGGAGACAAGAGATTTTACCTACAACAAGACGGTGCTCCACCTCACTACCATCGAGATGTCAGGGTGTACTTGGATGACACACTAGCTGGACGATGGATAGGTCGAAGAGGTGCTACTGAGTAACCACCACGGTCTCCAGACCTAACACCTCTCGACTTCTACCTATGGGTAAACTTGAAGAATGAAGTTTATTGACAAAAGCCAGCTACACTGAACGTGCTATGAGAAACCATCGAAGCGTCATGTGCAGCCATCACACCAGACACACTGACAGCCGTAGTTCGCTCAGCAGTTCGGCGACATCGATGCTGTTTAGCCGCTGATGGTGGTCACTTTGAACACAAACAGTGACTCTCTCTCTCCATGAAAGAACTGTAACTACATGTCATTTTGTTCCAAAGATATTGTTTATCAAAGAGTAAGTACATTTTTTGGACCATTCTGTATATATATAGACACACAGGGAGATCGAGAAGTCACACACATCACACTAAGCAATTATATTTTGCTGGTTTAATGCACAAACTAGAGCACTTTTTTTTTATTGCTAGTGGGGTGGGACTAAGTTCCTTGTACTGCGGCCACTTCTGGCCTATTGTACCAGCCCCATTTGATAGGTGAGGGTGATTGTGGAGCAACTGGTGGAATGAAAATTGGCAGGGGAAACCAAAGTACTCGGAGAAAACCTGCCCCAGCGCCACTTTTTCCACCACAAATCCCACTTGACCAGACCCGGGATCGAACCCAGGCCACTGCGGTGGGAAGCCAGTGACTAACCACTTGAGCTATGGTGCGGCCCATAGAGCACTTACTATTAATGTTTATAACCTTACATCTTAGAAATGCAAAATCAAATCATGTCTTTACAACATATGCTCAAAATAGTTTCCTTGTTCAGCAATGCATGCGCGAGCACTTTTTACCATGTTTGAGGCCAATTTGTGGAGCATCTGTAAACCGATGCTGTTAATCGCTGTCGTAATGTTTCTCTTGAGGTCATCCAGTGTTTGTGGATTGTTTTTTTTGAGGTACCCCTGAAGGAAAAAGTCTGCAGGTGACAAATCAGGTGAACACGGGCCCACAATTCTTCCGAAATGAGACGGTCACCAAAAAACTCGCGCAAGAACTGCATGGTTTCATTAGATGTGTGACATGTGGCAGCGTCTTGCTGCAACCAACACTTATGTTCATCAACTTCAAGAAGCGCATTAAACTGTGTAATGATGTCTTCGTACACTGGACTGTTCACTGTTGTGTCAAAGAAAACTTGGCTCACTATTCGATGATGTGATATAGCACACCACACTCCAATTTGGTGACAGTACAAGGGCTTTTCATGTAACACATGTGGATTTTCTGATGACCAAATCCTACTGTTTTGACTGTTCACGTAGCCACTATGGTGAAACCATGCTTCGTCTGTGAAGAAAAACTGATCAAACTCTTCAATTCCATGGTTCCCAACAAATGTCGTTGTTCTTGGGAGAACGAAATGTCTGTCACGCAATAAACAAAGCTGTACTGCAGACGTCGAATGACCAATATACGACAGATGGCATTTCTACACATTGTTAGTACTCCTACAGTACCACCTTGTGGTGGGAGATGTAATTATATCAACTGCAATACAATTTATAACAACTTTTAGTTTGATGTGCATGACTTTATGAACTCCCCATATATATAAAGAAGATATATGGACAACTGTTTACCAGAAAATACTTAGAAGTGAAGAGTTCAGTAATCCAACAGTCTGACAGACAGTCCACTTACCTGCAACTTATATCAGTAAGCGCGAGGAAGTCCTTGTGGAAATAGTGCATCTGTATCACCGTGATTACGAGAAAAAAGGTTGGAGTAAGCAGTTTAACAAACAACTCACTGGTCTGGAATATCTCCATGCCGATGTCTTTTTGTCTGGAAGGGAACAAGAGAAGTAAAAGGTAAAGTTGTCCATGTTGCTACCAAAGTAAGCACTACACAATCAAGAAGTATGGAGGAGTGGATGTATAATCCAAGTATTCTTGGCCTTGACACTAGATGCTGGTGAGTGGCCAGCTTCATGCACCAGCCACTTCACCACCGGCAAGAAAGAGACCCAGGTACCCATTGGACAGGAGGCTGTGTGAGCCCCAGAACCAGTCTGGATGAGCGGAGAAGAGAAAATTCTTGCCCCTACCGGGACTTGAACTCTAACCCCTAGGCCATCCAGCCTGTAGCCAGTCACTATACTGACTGCACTATCCTGGTGAGAAGTGCATGAACAAAACAAGAACACCATGGGGATTCTCATGTAAAAATACCTTTCTTAGGTCTTAAAAACACAAAGCTATTTGAAAGCAAAATCTAGGCATTAACCACACAAAGGCAAGAAATCATCTCTGCACCTAAGAATCATGCCCAGAGGACATGTAAATAATAGTCAGTAGTAGATAACGTTACTGGTCAGTTTCAAGCTCTGGTCACTTTTACTCCTGGGAAAAGAGTCCCTGGTACTACACTGCACAGGCTTGGTGGGCTTCATAAGTTACAATTGTGGTAGCAAAGCAAAATCAGTGACCCTGTCAGAAATTATATTCCACCTGTCTCAACCATATCCAGTCACTTACCATATAGTGATCCTGATGATTCATAAAAATAAGTTGTGAGAATAAATTGTGGCATGTACTGCATAAGGAGGGATTAGAGGGAACTACACTAATATTTGCCAGATATTGCCAAGGAATTTATAGGAATGAAGGACTGTTACTCATATTTTCAATGAAATGAACGAAATGCATGTTGCCATCTCTGTTGTTTTTAAAACATGAAAAATATTCTCAATCACTCAATCATGGAGCTGAGCCCCTCTTGAGAAGCCGCCAACTGTGCAGCTACTAAAGAATTTTCCAGCATTTATGGAACCCGAATATTCATTACCATGTTCACAAGAGCCCTCCACAGGTCCCTATTCTGAGCCAGATCAATCAAATCCATACCATCCCATCCCATCCTATCTCTCTAAGATACATTTTAATATTGTTCACCCACCCATGCCTTAAGTCTTCCCAGTGGTTTCTTTCCTTCTGGCTTTCCCACCAATATCCTATATGCATTCATCTCCCACATTCATGCTACATGCCCTGCCCACCTCAGCTTAATTGACTTGATCATTCTACGAGGATAAGCCAATAAGTAAGTTACAAATGGATATAGAATTTAAACAAATAAGAGTACTGATTTGAAAAATGCTTTTATTTCTCAACATAATCTCCCTGTACATTGAGGCACTTCTCCCATCCTTTCACAAGCCCCTGAAATGCAGCAGCATAAAATTCTTTGGGTTGCTGTGAGAACCAGGTGGTGACTTCCCTTTCTACATCTTAATCGTAGGGAAAATGTTTAGCTGAAAGGTAATGTTTAAGAGGGCCAAACAAATGAAAGGCGCTTGGAGCAAGGTCGGGGCTATACATAGGATGCTCGAGGACTTCCCACTTGAAATTTCGCAGCATCTCATTTGTCCTGTTGGCAGTATGGGTATGTGCGTTGTCATGCAAGAGCAACACGCCTTTAGTGAGGAGTCCTGGTTGCTTCCGTTGAATGGCCCTATGAAGTTTCCTGAGGATGTTACAGTAGGAGTCGGCATTTACGTAAATGCTGACTCCTACTGTAACATCCTTAGGATGTAAATGTTCCCTGTAAAGAGAAGTCACTGCCTGGTTCTGAAAGCAGCCCAAAGAATTTGATGCTGCTGGTTTCCAGGGGCTTGTGAAATGATAGGACAAGTGCCTCAATGTACAGGGAGATTATGCTGAGAAATAAAAGCATTTTTCAAATCAGTACTCTTACTTGTTTAAGTTCTATATCCATTTGTAGCTTACTTATTGACAGCAGATAAATTGGCTAAGAATGGAGCTGAACATCCGTTCATAGGACCTGAACCAGCCTGTGACATCTCTATAGGAGTTGCCAGAAAAGCAATCAGGGACTGGACAAATATGAAGCACAAGAAATACTGGGGATCCTTGACTGGACTCAGGCAAGCAAAGGGACTCATACAAGGACCCTCTGCTAAAAGAGTGAAGGAACTGTTGAAGTTAAACAGGAACCAGCTACAATGGGTGGTGGGACTACTTACAGAACACTGTCACCTTAAAGGACACCTCTTCAAACTGGGACTAAGTGATAGTCCCACTTGTGAGAGGTGTCAAGAAGAAAATGAAACAGCCACACATATCCTGTGTGAATGTGAGGCCTTAGCTTATCTAAGATTATGTCACTTGGGTCACTACTTTATGGAACCAAGTGAGTATTTCGATGTTCCCAAGTACAAAATCCTATGCTTCATTTGAAGCACAGGATTGCTGAGGGGATAATCAAAAGGGGAAGCACAATAGAGCACTGTAGGTTGCAGTGCAAGGGCCCAGAAGGCCCACCCCTTATACATTCTTTTAACTTACTTATTGACTTACCTACATAATTATACTGGGAGAAGAGTACAAGTTGTGAAGCTCCTCATTATGCAGTTTTCTCCAACCTCCTGTCACTTAATCTCTGTTTGGTCCAAATATTCTCACCACCCTGTTCTCAAACACTCTCAGTCTATGTTCCTCCCTTAATGTCAGAGACCAAGTTTCACACCCATACAGAACCACAGACAAAATTATAGTTTTGTATAATTTAATTTTTATGATTTCAGACAGCAGACAAAAAGACAAAAGATTCTTGACTGAATGGTAGCAAGCATTACTTGAGTTCAATCTCCTCTTAATTTCGTCGTGAATCAACTTTGATTTGTTATTGCCGTTCTCAAATATTTGAACTGTGTCACATTTTCAAAGCATCTGTGGGCCATCTTCATGTCATGATTTTTCCCTGCATTCTCATGATGAGACAACAACATATACTTAGTTCTTTCTGTATTTGCTTCTAGTCCAACCTCTTTGCTATCATCAATTAAAGTTTGTGTGTTTTTTACAATTCTTTATTAGAGTCCGTCACAACACAATACAATGGTAAAGGCTAAAATCAGCTTAGCTACATGTTATAGATTGCTTGAAATCTATATTTCCCACAGAATGGACAAAATACATCATAAGATGAGGCACCAGCTAAACAATTAATGTCAAAACTATACTACATCTATACCATGGGCCTCCAAGAAGTTTATTACATGTGTGGGATTTGTCGATACTCCAATAGACAACCACTTTGGAAAGTTTGTGGACCCTGAAAAGGCCCGTTTGTTCCTTGATAGTAGGCCTGCCTGAAAGACTGGTGATGTAGGGCTGCGTGCGCCGGTAGAAATAGATGTTGGCTATGGTGTGTTGACTAATGTTGCGGCAGCTGAGTTAGTTGTCTGGACGCAGTGCGGCAGTTGCCAGAAGTTGCCTAGTCACTGGAGGCTTGCGGCAACTATGTCAGTTGCCTGGCCGCTGTGAACAGCTGATGCCTCTGGGCTGCTGTCTCAGGATGAACCGAGTGTGTCGACTAATGTTGCAGCAGCTGAGTTAGTTCTCTGGTCGCAGTGCGGCAGTTGCCGGAAGTTGCCCGGTCGCAGAGCGTGGTTGCTGGAAGACGTCTGGTCACGGAGCGCAGTCGCTGGAGTGGTGGCAGCTGTGTCACTTGCCCGGTGTGTTGGGCATGACTGCCGGAGAGCCAAGACAGCCGTCCCTGATGCAGTGAAAAGCCGATGACTCCAAAGACCAATCGCTCTGGACTAGGTGTGATGGCTGACTGGCTGATGTGGTCACTGACGATTGCAAGCTTTGGGCTCCGCCTTTTATACCATGCATGATGGAGGAGCGAAACTTGCAGTTGTGATTGTGAGAGCTGATTGGCTAGTGCATGTAATGATCTGAATGTGGACTAGACAGCGAGTGCTGTATAAATGTGAGCGTTGAAAGCAATGTGATTGGTTAGCGCACGTGCTGGTGAAAAGTGAGCTGGACAGCGGGTGCTGTATAAATATGAGAGCTGACAGCAATGTGCTATTGACTTAGGGTGAGTGCTGTCCGTTGATCAGCGAAACATTGTGATAGTATGTGGGATGTTCCCACACATGTATACAAGTCTAGAATATACCATTATATCCATGGGAATACAACAAATTGCAGCAACTGACTTGACGATATGTAATATCACATGAAAAGTTTTTAACCTTATTTTACGCCATAACTTTCGTTTTTATAATAAGTTTATAATTCATTGTATTTTTTACCATGTATTTTATAATGTAATAATTACCAAGTATCCAGCTTCACTATCACAATTGCAGTTCAGTAGTGTGTCAGTATGTAACCATGTGTTTGCCTGATGACGGCTTTAATAGCCGAAACATGTAGCTAAGGTAATTTTAGCCTTGACCACTGTATTGTTGTATTGTGACGGACTCTAATAGAGAACTGTATATAATAACACAACAGGATGCACGAAATAAAAATTGTTTTTCTTTATGGTATCTATATTATCACCCAGCAGATTCACATCATCGGCATAGACCAACAGCTGATGTGTCCAGTTTAATTTCAGTCCCACCTGGTTTCCCTGAGCCTTCTTAATGGCATATTCTAAAGCAAAGTTGAAAAGGAGTGCCGATAAAGCACCTTCCTTTAGACCATATTGAGCAGGAAAATATTTACTCATATGGACTCTGCTACCTTTCTTTTAAACACATTTTAATCAGCCTCACTGGCTTCATGAGTACCCCAGACTCTATTAGGATATTGTACATTACTTCCATCATAAATGAAACACAGGCTTTCTTGAAGTCTATGAATAGCTGATGTACTGTCTCAATATACTCCCATTTTTTCTCCAGTATCTGACAAATGCAAAAGATCTAATCAGTATCTGATCTCTTTATGTTGAAACCCACACTGATGATCCCCAACAATTTCACCTATATATGGAGTTAACATTGAGAGAAGAATATTGGATAAAATTTTGTACGAAGTTAATAGCAGTGATATCCCATGATAATTACTACGATCAGTTTCATTACCCTTCTTGAGAACCGGTACAATAATAGACTCCTTCTACTGATCAGATAATTTTTCCTTATTCTGAAAATCGTTCTGCACAGAATTTTTTATTAGATTCACATCTATTTCCATACACAGAATTTTTTATTTCCATACAATATTTCACATGTCCGAATTCCAATAGTTCATCAGTAATAGCCACCAAGTGCAAAGCAAAACATAGATTGTGCATGATTACCATGCTGTTTTAAAGGCAAAAAAATAAAGTTGACAAAATCTGCACTTTTCTAGAGATCCATTCCCACAAAAAATCACAGGGCCCTACATTAAGTCTCACTCCCACATCAGGAAGTCTGCATGGTTACCATACTGGTATTACTGATTACAAGAAATCTAGGGAGTACAAAGTTGGGCTTGCCTCTTGTGGTAAATGTTCATACAAGCCTCTGTGTCTTCATAAATATGGGAAGTGGGTTAGAAGAAATTAGATTATAATTCAAATAAACATGTAACTTACAATTCTTGAGAAATTCCAAGGTAGTTAGTCCAGTAGTAGGGGAAATCATCAAACTGGTATGTGTAGATCAGCACTAATATGGACATGGAGTAGATGATGACAGTCAGCCAGAATCCATACATGAACTTGCGCCAAATTTGATAAGAGAGCTGAAGCAAAAAGAGTTCTCAGACTAATTCCACTTTTTAGTACTAATCCTTTAACTGTTATGCAAGCAGCAATTCCATAACAGAGCTTGGCCAAGCATGCCATATAACACTGGCAGTAATATTCTAGCATATATACAATCACGTTATTTATCTCCTTTACTCTGAGATGTTCCAAGAAATACACTTTCCAGACAGCACATTCACTTTGATACTGTGTGTCTAAATATCTTTATAAGTGCATCACTATTAGATAGTAACACACATCATTAAGTCATCTTTATAAAGTTACTAGATTCTGTTTTCAACATACAATGGGAACAAAAATCATTATCCTGCAAATCTTGATACAGCACAGTCCCAATTATCTGTGCACAAATTATCCAGTTTGTGCATGTTAGTAATCCTGTGGAGCACTGAGTAAGTTTCATCAGTTCATCCTTCCATCTGACCCCATCCCTCTATCTTTATAAATAAAACAACCACTAGATGGATTTTTCACAAAATCTGATATTTGAGAATTTTATGAAACACTGTTGAGTAATTCAGTTTCCACTTAGAGTAGACAATTTTAACAAACACTTTACATGAACACTTACATACATTTCTGCATATATTTCAAGCATAACTTGCTGAATAGTTATTGTAATGAAAGATGTTTCAAACTGAAGTTGTAGAGAAAACAGAAACACACATTTATACTCCATTCAGTTCTTCTGGAAGTATTATGATCTTAAATAACTAAGCAAACTGAACACTATGCATATATTTCCAAATTTCTATACTTCAGGATCACAATGGTCTTGGATTATCAGTGTTTTCCAATTACTCATGCATCTTTTCCGCATAATCGGAAGTATGCTGTAGATCTTAACAAGCCCTATGCTTTATGTTAAACACCAATTTCATGTATGATAAGCCACTTTTAGGAAAATTATAAAAAGTATTATTTGAATTTCATTTAAAGTAGAGAGTTACATTATATGAACAAACAGGTATGGATCAAAATTTATTTCATCAGACAATTTTTAGTTTTGACCTCCAATATCACATTTCATCAAAATTTACTGAACAGTTTTTGATATGAAACATGCAGGTAGATTCTAAAGGGTTCCACCAATGGTGAATTAACACCAAGAATTACTTAGTTTTTGGCCTTTGGCCACTGTCTGGCATTCTAAAGAACCAGAGAACAAAATTTTGGAAAATGGATGTTTCTCTCCCCAGGTGAGGGGGGGCAGACACCTACTTTGTTAGGTCCAGCGAGTGAGGTTAGATCTTTCTAAGGGACCCAACAGACGTCTCTCCCCTCACCTGAGGATGGAAACAGATCCAGGTTCCAGAACATTGAATTTCCTAGGTCTTTAGAATACTGGATGAATAACAAAGTCCAAAAACCAAGTAAATCTGAAATACACAGGTAACTGGACAGCAGGGTAGCCTGATCTGACTTCTCCCATATAAGCTCACCTCATGCACTGGTGCTAACTATAGTAAGACAAAAACTGTTCTCATTTAATGAGACAAAATGTCCAGTTACCACTTTTATTTGTGTGTAAAAAGACACCCTTGCTGGCAATACTCATGCACTCACCTGAAAGACAAGTACAAAGATGAGGAAGAGTGCCATGTAGATAATGCGATACACAGTCATTCGAGTGCCACTAAGGCCTATCACAAAGAGCATTATGGCAACCACCCAAATCCAGAACTTGGTCAGAAGGTTATTAACAAAGTCACCCAGCCAATTCATGGCCTGACTTGACTGCTTGGCTCCGTCCGTGCCTGAAAAACCTGCAACAACAGTTCACCGTGGTGCTGAATGTTCTGCTACAGCTTTCTGTGACTGTGATTTTCATTATAAAACATCAAATTCACCCAAATATCCTACCACCTTGTCTAGTGAACCAAAATATTTTTAGGCACATTTGCAATCTTACAGAGCCTCTATTCAGTTTACCTCTTCTGTGTCTATATGTCTGCAGAACGAAACAACTTGAAAACCACTGATTTTCATTTATGAGAGTGAAAACTGTTTCAAACAAAAGTTGTAGAGAAACACACATTGCATACAGAATACAATTTGTCTCTACATTTTACAAAATAATCAAATAACAGGAACCCAGTGTGTACATTTCAGAATTTGTATGTTCAGCAATGAAATAATGGTCTCCTGAACATATTACAGGATTAGTGAAGTTTCATTTTCAATAATAATTTAATAAAACTTCCTCTCACCAGAATTTCTAAATATATATGTATATAATTACACATTTAACTAACTACACTTGATCATACTGTCAATGTCTTTTATTCCTTATCCTAATGAGTGAATATGCATGAAAATAAACGATTCAACCGTTTCAGCAAAAGGTCACAATTAGAAAGAAGGGGAGGGGGAAGAATAAATTCTTGGAATTTGTTGAAATCCGTTTTGTTTCGCTTTTTATTTATTCATTAAATACAGGCCTATAGATGTGATTACTTGCAAATCTGAATAATTATCAACTTAAAGCAGCTTTGTGCATCATCATCAGTAATCTGTCAGATGACAGGGCCACAGTCTCTTCCAAAACAGTTCCTCCACTTAATGCGACTCTTATTTCCACTTTGTTTTGACTCCAGAGAAAACATCTCGCATACATGGTATCTCTGTTTTTGGAAAGAGACTATCCAGGAAAAGTGATAATGTGGTAGTTTTTCCATTTGCTTTCCACATCGCAGTACCACAGCCGTTTAAACCACTCTGGTCACGCCTATTGCTATACGAACTTGAACCATCTCGAGCATAATTTGCTCTGTGCTTCAAGTCACTGCCAATGACGCTGCTTCCGGCATCAGTTTTTCGTTTTTGGTGTCTCTCTTCTTCTGATGCCTACCCTTTGACCTGTCCAGCAAGGGAGGCCCTGCCAGTAGCTACGCTACTGCTGGTATAGCTCTCAGGGTCCTTGCTGCATATTAATTTAATAATTGATTATTACAAGAGAAGTGTTCACCATACTTTTAATTATTCAGTTCATCCAAAATAAGACACCTCTGAAATTAAAGAATATCTCTTCTTTTCTCACATTAGATTCACTTTCTTTTCTTATACATAATGTGAAGAGCACACATGTTAGCATGTCATTTGTAATTTCTTTTGTAGAGCACATCTGTTCAAGTGTTCATTGCATACTAGTATAATTTTGTTTTACTGCACTGTACATCTCTACTTTAAAAGAAAATCTCAGACTGAGGGTGTTTAAGAACAAAGTGCCGCAGAGAATATTTGGAAATAAGAAAGAGGAATTAACTTGGGAACAGTGATAACTACAAAATGACAAGCTTCTGAATTATCCATCTGTAAGTATTAAAGTAAGATGGGTACGAGAGCTAGATATCATGGGGATCATGAGAAGCACTGTCATGATTCAGTAACTAGACACAAGGTTTGGATTTGTAACTGGTTTATTGAACTCCTATAACTCATAGCTACATATATAACACTCTCACCAATTCACTCACTAGACATCTCACTATGGCTTCTAGTCTTCACTAGTGACTGATGCCTGGTAATGGACCCCAACAGTGTCCTCTTCTGTTCGCATCGTTACATTTTGTGACTGTCTCACACCTAACCCACTGCTCAAAATGTCTACTTCCAAGCCATGACTGGCTAACTTTTACTGATGGCTCTTACTATATATATAGCCTTGGCATGAACCACATAGAAAATACCACATTGCCTAGTAATGGCCCAACAGTTCTACTGTTGCATACGCATGGACAGGTGTTTACTGTGCCGCTGTGTAGCAACAGCTGTCTCTTCTTGCTCCACTATTCCAGTTTCAGCCCTCATGTCACAATACAAAGTGCTGGTAGTGAAACCTTAAGGAAATAGACAACCTGGTAGTCCTATGCATACATGGAATAAAATATTAAAATCAAGCTTAGAGAAATAGGGGATAAAAGTGTTGGTAAAGTATGGGATACAAGGTGGGATTTTGTGAACAGAATAAACAACCAGGTTCCATAAAATCATGGAATTCTTTCTTCTGAGTAATACCAGACTCCACACTATGCAATCAGACATCACTATGTTGCTACAAAACACTTGCAAACACATGCAATGATTCTCAGGTCCAGGACATTATGTACACTATGAAGTTATTTCACCAATCCTGTCTTACCTCTGGTTGCAGGGCCAACAGTAATTTGTAAAGGTGCAGCCATGTCTTCCAGTGCAGATGTGTTGCGTCTTTCAAAGCGTTCTTGCATAAACTGACGCAATGTTATCCAGAAGAAGAGAGTATATAAACTCTGAAAAATGAAAAGCAAGAAAAAATTGGACTGTCAGGCTACACATAATATGTGATCATATGAGTCTTACGTATCTTGAAATAATGTCACCAATTAATAGAAGAAATGTTGCAGAAGACTGAAGAGGGGTGGATAATTTAGATGTGTGTAATAATAGTGTTCACCTTACTGCCATCTATGAGTTGACTGTCTAGAAAATGTGGGGGCCTCGACCTCTGACATCCCTATGGGCCTTCACGGCCTGTTACAGGGGCAGGTTAATATTACTCTTTATATCAATTTTCTACAGCTCAATGTGATAGAAATATGTTTTGAAATTTGACTAATGTGGCTTTTTTTGTTCTTGCTGATCCAGCATACCTTCAAATCTAGTTCAGAAACTGCTAAGTTTAAAATACGATAATTCATTAATCTTAGCTTAAATCATCAAAAGACATTTTGTGAAACATGCTTATACACATAACCAGATGCATGCTGGTGTAAGATTTGACCAAAGATCTCAGTTAACTAACAAACTAACTACACAGAGAAGAGTCCCTCTTGATAAACAAATCCTGCTCAGCTGTCAAGAAATTCCCAGCATGTTAAGGAATCTGAAGGTTCATTACTGCATTCACAAAGGCCAACTAATCCTTGTCTTGAGCCAGATGAATTCAAGTCACACACTTCCACACTATTTCTGTAAGATTAATTTAAACAGTGTGAAGGTCTTCCTACTGGTCTTTCTAACAAGGTCTCTTTCCTTCAGGTTTTTCTACCAAAACTTTGTATGAACTTTTCTTCTCCATCACATGCCTTGCTCATCTCAGGCTCCCTGATCTCACCATTCTAATATCTGGTGAAGAACACAAATTATGAAGCTCCTTGTTATGCAGTTTTCTCCAGCTTCCTGTCACTTCACAACCTCCAATTATTCTTTTCAGTACCCTGTTCACAAACACCCTTGGTCTCTGTTCCATCCTGAACATGAGAGACCAAGTTTCACACCTACATAGAGCACCAGGCAAAGTACAGTTTTGTAAGTTCACTCTTCAAATTTTTGGACATCACATGGAAGAAAAAAGATTCTGCACTGAATGACAGCAAGCATTCTACAGATTTGATCTGCTCTTATTTTCTCAATCAATGCAATTTTGATTTGGCTGTGCTGTTCTCAAACATTTGAACACTGCCACATTTTCAAAGGATCTTCATATTGTGATTCTATCCTGTATTCTGGTGAGAAAACAAAATATACTTAGCTTTCTCTACATTTACTTCTACACCAACATCCTTATTAGCATCTAATGGAAATTTTGTGTTTTTATTTATGGTATTTATATTACTGTCCAGTCAATTAACATCATTAAACAGAAGTGATGTGTCCCATTTAATTTCAATCCCTCCTGATTTCCTTGAACCTTCCTAATGGTGTGTTTTAAACAAAGGTGAAAGATAATGGTGATGTTTCAGACTATCTGGAATAGAAAATGTATGGGACAACATTTTTTCTATATAGACTTTAACATAGGTTTCATTTATGCACATGTTAATTAACCTAACTCATTTCATGGGTATACCAAACTTAATGACAACTTTAAACAATACTTTCTTCTTAACTTAATCACAGTTCCTAGCTGATGAAATGAAATATGAGGGCTATTCAGAAAGTAACCTCAGCTGAGCTGCTAACAAACAGGCAATGAGAAAAAAAAATATTATATACAAAAAATTCGTATATACTTAAGCTACTTCTCAGCACAGTCTTTGCCGGAACTGAGGTACTTGTCATATTGGGGAATAACTTTTGGTATGTCTGTGTCAAAGAAGTCTTTGCACTTTCCGTCAACTCATTACTGTTGAAGCGCTGTGATCCCAACCAATTTTTCAGGTAAGTAAACATATGGCAGTCACTCAGAGCAAGATCAGGGGTGTAAGGAGGGTGGTCAAACAACTCCCAGTTAAAATGCTCCAGCAGTGCTCGAGTGCAAGCAACTTTATATGGATGCACAGTCATGAAGGAGCACTACACTGGATGTCAGCTTTCCATACCTTTTTTTCTGAATGTCCCTATGCAGTTTTTTACTGTTTCACAGTATACTTGTGACATTATTGTGGCACCTTGTTGAATGAATTCCACCATCAGTGCTCCTTTCCAGTCCCACAAAACAGTTTTCATCAGATTTCTGGCATGTCAACATCTGTTTAAATTTTTTTGCTTGTTGGGTCAATGTGTGTACATCCATTGCTTTAACTGCACTTTGGTTTCAACATTCACAAATGAATTATCATCAGCTGTTACTGTTCATCACCATCTTTGTGGTGTAGCTCTAAAAATGTCAAAGCCTAAACCATTCTCTGTATTTTGTGTGCACCCATGAACATTTTTGGAACCATTCTTTCGCAAAATTTGTGATAACTTCGCCTAGCTGTGATAATCTCATAGAGAACAATGCATGAGATTTGTGGAAATTCACACAAAAGTTCCAAAATTGTGAAGCGCCATTTTTCACAAATTTTTTGGTCAACATTTTGAACAAGATCTCGTCCATCACTCACTACAGATGGCTGACTGATTCACTTTTCATTGTGAACATTTGTTTGCCAATCTCTGAATATTCAATGCCATTGTTTTACAGTTCCTTCACTCATTACACTTTCAGTGTAAACCGCCATGCATGACTCATGCTGGACTTCCATAGCACTCATGCTTTTAGCATGAAGAAAATTGGTAACAGAGCAAATTTTGCAAGCTGCTGGGATTATCAATTGCAGGATATATCATATGTGACTATATAGAGACAAGAATAAACACTAGGTGACCAGTTATGTGATGGTTAACTGGGCAATGAGTCACATGATGCTACCTTATTATGTGCGAGCTCTCCCCCACTCCTGTATCAGCTGCCTAAAATAAACAAAGGTTACTTTCCGAACAGCCCTCATACTAGAAAGCTGAAGTAGAAAAAAGAAATAGTCCATCCACTAAAATCTAATGGTGTTACCAAGACAGCAAATGGCTGATCAAGTTGTGGTGCTGAATATGTCAAAACCTCTGCAAATGATTTTCTGTCTCTTTATTTTACTTGTTAGAACCAATTCTTCCATTCTCCAATCAGAATATTTGGGTTTTATGCACTTCTTATCATTGTTAATGTCTTTTCTACCTTCCGAAAGCCTCTTGGACCATTTAAGAGCTTGTGATCTTTATACATCACCATCTTCAGTTACATGATACTTTCAACATTTCTGAACAGATTTTTCAAACCTTTACACCTCATACACTTCTGAACATATTTTTTAAACCTAGACACCTTGTACACTTTTGTATAGATTTTTCAAACTGATACAGAACTGATGATCAGTTCACTGTTCTGAAAGCTTGCTGCCCATTTATATGACTAAAGCAAAATTGGCATTTTACATGCGTCACCAAAAAAAAAACTGTTAGGATAGCAATTAGATGTTACATATTTAAATATTAATGAGTCATGCAAATAGATGTAACTGCCAAACTTCTACTGTTACCACACGGAACATAAAAACCAGTCCAGGAACAAAAAAGTTTAATTTCATACTCGTTAGAATTTGACACGTTTGGTGTCACTCTCAATACAAAAGATCTGTAGTAAAATGAACTTATATGTTATAGGATAATTCAGTAGAGCCAAATGATGTCAGACAGTGCTGGAGATAATCATCCTAAAATTTTAGTAGTGAAGAATGAAGCAATAACTTCTATTTAATGTGCAGATATTTGAAATTTAATAATAATTGCTATCTTCTTGCACTTAATTTAACTGAATGGATATACCTCACATATAAAGATTATCAACAATATTGTAGCATTTACTGTTACTTGGAACAGTTATTGTCTCCCCATCGGTAGCCACTAATGATGATGAGGTAAGTCTGTCTTCATACTACCACAACACTACTCCACTGTCCTCTTCTTATGTCTTGCCTCTGTCAGCAATTAGCTAATTTCCTGAATCAAAGCATGCCCTGTTTTAGTTTCTCTCTGAACTGGTCACACACAACCTCACTACTCAGCAACTTGTCTCTGACTCCCTCACTATCTGCTGTGCAACCACAGTTTTATGGCCAGTCATTCCAGACATCTTCTGTGGATTCCTGGTTACTTCTCTGCCTTCAGCAGTCACCAGAATGAAATGGGGGGAGGGGGAGGTCCCCAAAGTTTGCTGAAAGACGAGTATGCAAAACCCCCTTGCTCAACTCTCGCTATAATAAACAATAACTTTCAAGGAAGAATCTTATCTTTGTGAATAATATTTTCACTTACGGCAATGACTATCATCTCTCTCCACTAAAGAGCAGTTGGAAATTATGTTACGTTAAAGACTGAAACCTAAGAACGTTAATTCAGTGCAAACAGGTCTAAAATCTGTGTGATACAGTTGAGATATAAAAGAGAAGCAATGCATTACCTTAACAAAGAGAGGCTCACATGGCAGTTTTGTGGTTCTGGTGAAACCTATCTGACGAAGATTCACACCCTTCACTTTGTCTGGTAGTTCATCATTGGTGAGGTCCATGCCATATATATACTGAGCCAGAAGCAGGAATATGGCATACACCACAAGGAAAGGCGAACACCTCATCATAGAGTGGCGCTGGTTGGGGAAAATCCACAAGATGCTGGCCCAGAGCAGCAGCACGAATGTCAACCAGCTATGATATGTAATACTCCAAGCCTGCATGATAATTCAGTTGTCATATGTATATACACTTAGTTCATAACTTAAGAGAAATGTATCTTTTAGAGAAGTTATCAGTCTACCATACATGAGGAGCTGAAGCTGGGTTTACATCTGCACTTGAAGGCAAAAACATTAAAAGGGAAGGCACAAAACAAGCCATGACAACAGTGATAACAGCTTGACATTATCAGCAGACTATAAGTCCTCTGGGGTGATGAAGTGATTGCAAGCACAGACAGAGTTTTAATGGGGAAACCAGGGAAACAAACAATACAAAACCAAACGTGCTCACCATCATGATGATATTTGTTCCAATGTAGGAGGATCTGTTTATTATCCGGAACAGGGAGGTGAAGAAGTCCAGGATCTGTTCACATATTCCTGGATGGATCTCTTCCTCTCCTACAAAAAGAGAACAGTATGTCTTAGTCTCCTCCTCTGTTTCCCCACTATAATACCAGATTCTTAATTCATTACATCATTCCTCTTTCTCATGCAGTGTCATCAATAAAGAAGTTTCCTTCATTTTACCACCTCTTAACAGACACTTTGACATACAGTACATCACAAGGTATTATTTTACTTAAATTTCAAAACTGTTGGTCTCTGACCACCACATTTCAGTCTGACTTACATAGTACAAAATCTGCACAACAAAACATTAATGTTCAGGAAAAGGAATTATTAGAAACATAAGGTCCTAATGAACTGCACAATTTTCACCAGAGCTATCTTGACTCTTGAACTGGAGACGGAGATAATGTGTACATAGTTTCATATGCCTGGGTGAATATATGATGCATATCATGATAGAGCCGGGATAGAGCAGTTGGTATAGTGACTGGCTAAAGGTTTGATGACCGAGGGGTCAGAGTTCAAGTCCTGGTAGGGTCTAGAAGTTTCACTTCTCCATGTCATCCAGACCAGCTCTGGAGCCCACCCAGCCTTCTATCCAATGAATATTGGGGGCTCTTTCCCTGGTGGTAAAGTGGCTAAAGTGTGAAGCTGACCGCTCACCTCCATCTAGTGCTGAGGTCAAGAAAACGTGGGTGTATACATCTTCTCCCTCATATGTCTTTATCGTGTATTGCTTAATCAGCTAAGCACAGGAACAACTTTACCTGTCACATATTATGATAATGTTGGTTGCTGGTTAGATAAAAAGAAACCTCTGATGCTGCTATGGCATATATCAGAAAAACATTCTGCTATCGTCTGGCTACACTTTAAGTTACAAGCTTTCTTAAACAAAATTAATTTTTTAAAAAATATAAACCACAAAATAATCTGTGGCTAAAGGATTGTGCTGAGAGCCTTGATCAAACGAAAGCCATTCAGAGGCTGTTTGAGGCAAAACAGCAGAGGTTATTAAAACAGCCTGTGTGGGCACTGAGGCATCAGCCAATGGATCCCTTTGTTACACAGATATGTCACGCACATGGCCACATAATTACCTGCAACTGGTTGTAATCGCTGGCAGCAAACAGGAATCCTCTACTCAAACCTAACAGGAGGGTGTCAATGCACTAGTACTTTCATATGAATGTATTAATATGAAGGTGGTTCAATGCTGACCTGGGCTTTAGTTTTTCTGAAAGATATCAGCATCAGAATAATAATATTCTTTTCACAGTGGATGGGAGAAAGAATGATCTCACTTCTTGATACACGACCATGCCTCCTGAGTCTGTGTATTAGGGAAAGTACAAGATGGTGCCATACCCTGTCACTTGAAATGTAACACAATGCTGGCATAAAATTTCTAGTGAAACAGAAAGTTTAACCGGCTGAAATTCTACAGAGGCTACATGCACATTATATAGAACAGTTCACATACTAGTGATACTAGTGTGCACATGATTGGTGTAACAAGTTATCAAAGGCCAAGAAGAAACTGCTAACTGACCACATGCTCACACTCAGCTGACAGCTGTCACAATGAAGAGCTGATTTTGTATAATAAGTGATTCATGTTGTGTGCCACTGCATCCAACACATGTGTAGGTTTTGAAGTGTAAAGTAAAGGTAAAGCTATCCCAGTAACAGGCCGTGGAGACCCATAGGTTCTGAGATGTCAAGGTTCCCACACTTTCCAGACAATTGGCTCACAGATGGCGGTGAGGTCGTCAGCCTTACATACTAGCTACTCTTTATCCCTGGGAAGATTCCTGGCAATCATTTCTGTTAGAGGCTGAGTCGACCCCAGGCCCACAGTGTGGCTGGAAAGGTTAGGTCAACTGAAAAATCTGATGACCTCATTGGGAACTGAATCCACGACCTTTCAGCTTGTAGCACAGTGCCTCAACCACCTATGCTACTCCATACCCCTAAGTTCAGAAGTGTAGAAAAAATTATTCATAAATACTTACTATTCCAGAAGGTGTGCATAAAGTGGGCTCCAAAGATGTTAACATTTGACCATAAAGCACAGTGTGTCACTGCGTCTGCCAAGAATCTGCACTGGTTTGAAATAGAGCGAAATGCATATATACAGTAAACAGTGACTTGCAACAAGATGTGAGTGTATTACTTCACTCTAGAATCAAAGCAGTCCAGAATTGAATGGCACCGCAAAGGGTTTCCAACACCCAAGAAGTTCAAGACACAGCCATCAGCTGGCAAAATCATAGCAGTGTATTCAAGAGGGGTGATTTCAAATTGATTTCTTCCCATGGGGTGCAACAACTAATGCTCTGCAATGCTGTTCACCAAGTCACTCACAAGAAAAGGCTTGGGAAACTGTCACATAAGATCACTGCACTATATGATAATGTGCAGCCACATATGGCAAATTTGAAATGACAATCCTGGCAACCTGGGGTTGGGAAATAATGAACTACCCTTCCTAGAGTCCAGACTTAGCTCCCAGTGGTTTTCACTTATCTGGGCCACTGCAGGAGCACTTAAGATGGCAAAAATTCAACATGGAACATGAACTGAAGCTTGGTGTGTTCAGCTGGCTATGTGGCCAGGCTACATCCTTCCATGCTGCCTGTATCAGTGTCGTGTAATGGTGATGGGAAAATGTGTCAAGTAGAGGAATAATATTCTGAAATACAGAGATAATTTGTGATTCTGGCACTTATGAGGGTTTGGGGGGATAAAAGTCTGAAGTCAAAAACAAATCTGAACCACCCTCACAACATTCAAAGAAAATATACGCAAAAACTGAAAATACGTATTGCCAGCTATAAAGGAAAAACCTGATCATGAAGGGACAAAATTGAGTATATTGCCACATTTGTCCCAAATAATACAACTCACGTGCAGCTCCTAGTGCATCCAACTGGATCACATCTTCATAGCCATCACTGAGGATCACACTCCCATGAGCATCTTGCCTGACTGTGCTCCGCCGCCGACCGGTTGAATCATACTTCATGGGACTCATGTTTCTTATTAACTGAAACAAATGTAAATTTAAATTATAGTATGTAATAACTTAGAGACAGGAACAACATTTATAATGAGCCTGAATATCCTGGCATCTTAAGAATGTTTAGTTTTAAAGTTTCCAACTGATACTTACTGTCCAATATAAACAATGTCAGTGAAAAAAGAATTTTAAAATGGTTTACCAGTATTTAATTTACTTAAAGTGTATTTTATTTTAAATCTGTAGTGGCATACAAGAATGTCTTATATATAAAAACGATTTTAAAAGTATACTCATAAAAATAACTTTTGTACGTGTGGGGAATCAGATACTGTACTGAGGACTATGAATTTGTCAATTGGATAAACACAGTCTATCATTCAGCTGCCTGACGTTTTTCTCTATCAACAGAAAGGTTAAATTCATTTTTGGAGCTTATAAATATTTTTATGCAGGTCCCCAAATAGCATTAAACTAACATGACTACACAGAAGTGAGAATAGTGATGAGGTATGGCAGGATGGCAGGTGTAGATGCTTCTCTTCTCCAAAGTATCTACAATGGCTCTAGGACCTAGCCAGCCTCCTATCCAATGGGTCCTGAGGGCCCTTTCCCTGGGTATGAAATGACTGCAGCATGAAACTTACCGCTCACCTCCATCTACTGCCAAAGTATGGTGTCATGCTTAATTAATTAAGCACAGGGACATCTTTACAGAGTCTAGAACAGCTCTGGGATCTACCCAGCCTCTTATCCAATGGGCACTGAAAACCCTTACACTGGGCATGAAGTGACCACAGCATGAAAATGACCACCCACCTCCATCTACTGCCAAAGTATGGTGTCTTGCTCTAAAATTAAGTACAGGGACAAATTCATCTTCAACCTTCATATAATAAAAGTAAAGAAAAAACTGTCCCTATGGATAATTAAGCACCATACCACAAAGTCTGGAAACAGATGGAGGTGACTGGTCAGCACTGTGCCCCAGTCACTTTACTGCCATAAAGGAATTTCCAGATACCTACTGGACAGAAGGCTGGGTGAGCCCCAGAGTTGGCCTGGAGGCAATGGTGAAGAGATAAATCTCTGCCACTGCTTGAAAATGAACCCTGTTTCTCCAGTCTTCCAGCCCACAGCCTAAGTCACTACAACAACTGAGCTGATATAAACATACTAACACAAAAATTCATATCAACTGACATCCCTGCTGTTACGGCATTACACTGTTTGCTGCAGAAAGTAAACAGAGAACAAAGTAATAAACAGTCTTGTTACTTACCACACAGCCATACCACACCATATGAATCTTAAGGAAGACAAATTTTGTGTATCAGAATTCCAAGAGACAGAGATGGCACCTCCAAGAAATATAATATGTGTTAGTTTTACAATTGAGTAAAATGTTTTGGAAAGGCAAAGGTCATTAGTCGTAAGAAATTATTTAATGAGTAAGTCATCTTAAGCAATGGTTCATGAAATATGCAAGTTTATAACAATGACTTGCATCATGTACTCCATGATCTAGATGGCTGTTCACATAATTTCGTGAAATGATTTTAGAGTGGGCAACTGTATATCCCTTCTTAACATAATTCAAAACATGATCTACTAAAAGCTAATTTCAAGGACTGAATAACCCCTCAACTGTATGAAAAAGTTGAATAGTTCCGTCCAGCGTGAATGGTTAAGACTCTCTTATTTCAATTATTCATGCCCTTCCATGTTTCGGTCTTCAGAGACCATCTCTAGAGGGACACCTTTACATCAATACTGTTAGAAGCCACTATTACAGTACATGTTCTAAAAGTAAAAATATATACATACAATATAAATAATATACAACACTGGACAGAACTATTTAACTTTTTCATAATATTAATAAGACGGACCAGAATGAAACAAATCAAATCCCTCAATTGTAATTAACACAATCCACAGGTATACACAATATCAACATGAATTTCATATAATATATTCTAAAATATTCAAGTAAAAGCACGTTGTAGTATGTACAATCAAGAGGACATGGGATGGTGACATTTGTTAATATTATCTAGAATTCCCTGCACCATCTGAAACTGTACTTTCATTTTACCTTACATTAAGACCCCTCTCCTGTTCATTTCTATACTACCTTACTGCCCCATAACATTCCTACTTGGCTGATGGACAAAGAATATGGCCGATTAACAGGTTATTCAACAACATTTCATTAACTTCAGAGGTTATTCAATATGAGGGAAATATGAATAATAAATCTGAAGAAGTGGAAAGAATTCCTCATGTCTTATCTTTAACTTCGGAGTGGGCAAAAAAATTGTATTGGGAGCTGGTGGGTCTATTTTCTAGTGACCATGGGCTGGAGGGAATTATGAGAACAAGTTAGTACTTAAAAAGCTATTGAATACTTATTTCCTACTACTGGAAAACCCTACTGAAATTCAGTGTGGAATAATTTCCTTCATTTCTTCGTCTTTGGCCTTCCTTCTTCCTTTTCTTTTATCCCTTTCATATATTTAACTTGTTCCCTCACTTGTCCAACAAAAGAGTGAACTGAGTTATACCTTCATTCTTAAGATTCAACAGTTTTGAACATACAGCTGCCATCTATGCAACTACATGAAAACTACTTTGGTATGAGAATGACATTATATATACACAGTCAGACTGCACTCATACATAGTCATAAACCATCTTCTCTTCTCCTCTCCCCTCCCTCTCTCTCAGACTGACTGACTGACCGACCGTAATCTACAGATATATCAAGACATACATGTGATATTGTGACATGCTGCGAAACGGAGGACCCCTACCTCCCCAGCGGCACGTGGCGGTAACGTATCGCTCGCGTAATAGGCGAGGCATCACCCCGCCACTCTCCCCGCGGTGACGTGCCGAGCAGAGCCGAAGTTAGCCGAGTCCCCGCAACCTGGTAGCTATGCAACGCGAGTCAAGAGCGGTGACGTCACCAAGGGATATCGCGGTTTCTAGGCAGCATTCAACAACTCCTGTGACGTGGCACGCAACAGGCACCACTGCGGCTATATAAGGGAACTGCACAGCAGCTGCGAGTGAGTTGTAACGTAACCGTCGCCGAGTCGAGTTGTACTGTGGCTGCGGCAGAGTTAAGTAGTAGTCGAGCGAGTGTGTTATCAACAGTTCTCAAGGTAGCAGCCTGTGAGTGTGCGATAACTGAGAAGTCAGCGAGGGGAAGACTTATTGTGTGCTTTCGAGACTTAGTGAGTGCTGTAGTACAGTTATATTTGGAGTGTGTAATTCAGGGAGATTTGTATAGCTCCCGCGTTATTAGTACGTGAAGACTCTGGTTGTAGGGTTTGTAAAGTGTGGAAACCCTCAACTGTGTTATAATTAATTGTAGCCGTTTCTTGTAGATTGTTGAATAAACCAATTAACGATCTCTACGGCGTATTCTGTAACGAAACACGTTACACTGGTGTCAGAAGTGGGATTTGGACTTACACACGTGACCAATGAGCTTCGAACTCAAGACACGTTACAATATTATTAAAAATCCAACAAAGTTCCATTTCCTCATATACTGTCTATTTTAGAACAAGATGTACTAAACTGTCATCTAATTGTATATCTAGTACTGATTACAGGCTGTCAAAACTCCTGCAAGATTTGGTCACACAAGACCATGTTTTTTTAAGGGGGGGATCACATTAAAGGGAAACTTCACAATTCAAATATATATAAAAATTAAAGATGTAAAATGTCCATGCCATAAATTTCTTATAAAAAGTTAGACCTAATATTATGTTAAAATTCACATATATTGCAACGTGGATGGCCAGAGCATTTCTAGGCAACTACCTGTCAACAACCTTCAGTTGTGTGCATTACAACAATAGGACAAATGTTTATAGCTCCTTGCTAGGCGACAGTCAGCGTACCAATGGACTGATGAGATAGATATTATGTGACACATTTTCTGTGTGGTCAACGTCATCAACAATAGAAATGTATTTCCTATGCAGTCCATGCTGCAGCTATATAACGAGAGCTGTGAGCCGTAAGTTCTAAGTGAACTTGAACTAGGAGGGACAGAGTTCAGTTCAGGCCAGTTATGAGAAATAGTAGAGGCAGAAGAAGGCGAATACATCAAATTGGAACCTGGAGTACAAAGTGATTGAAGACAAGAAGCCTTCATAGCGATTTGAAGTGATAAGTGTCTGTGTTGAGATACACTGCTTGGAGATGACTAGTGGAAACAGAGAATGCTAGTGCGTGTGCAACGGTGAACTGGAAGTGTGTATATCAGTGACTGCATTGTATTTATGTGTGATTAGGAGAACTTGTATCCAAGGTGCTAATAAATCCAATCATCTGAACTAGATCCCGTCATTGTGTCATGTGTACCACCCTCAACATGACAATATAAGCTGTAGCTGTTGCAAATCAGTTAATATGGTCTGTTGTGCTACATTGCATGTTTTTGTCTCACACTGGTCTTTTTGTGTGTCAAAGAGTGGAGTTCTTCTGTTTTAATGTGCTTTTTGGTGGATGAAGTGTGACTGTTCAACACTTAACCTACCAGGAAACACATCAAAACAGTGGAGCCCCACCTCTTTGACACTTAAAAAACAAATGTGAAGCATCAAAATACAACACATCACATGATGTACCAGCTGAACTGCAACATCTACAGCTTACATACATAAACTCTAACACAGTATTAGTTTTAACCTTTTATAAGATATATATGACATTGATAGTTTACATCGTTTATTTTTTATATGCATGAACTGTAAAGTTTTCTTTTAATACGGTACATCCTCCAAAGATGGTCTTGCATGACTGAAACATGTCAGAGTTTTAACGGCATGTAATCAATAAAAGGAAATAAACTGGGCAATTTCCACCTTGTTTTAGTAATAATTAATTCACAGAGGATATCCTAAATTATGATCACTGTTAATATGCTTTAAACATAATCTGGAGTGCAGCCCTCTTGACTTCCCCATATCCAGTTATAAGTATAGTAAATTTTTGTACCAGGA